TAGTGATTTTTCTGCTAATTGCTTGTTAGATAGAAACATTGTTTTTTAAATAGCTGCAGAATAAAATGATTTTTAAAAAGCCATTAGCTAGGCCTTATGTTATAATTTCTCCTCCTTCTCCAAGATCCCAGGGTGGTTTACAACAATTGAAACATAACGTCTCTGTCAAAAAGGGCCCCCCACCTCCAAGACATGAGAACTTGGGTCACAATTACACCTTTGTATTTTCAGGATTCAGCTTCTGTTTATTGTCCCACATATCCAAATATTTACTCAGAATTAAGTCCTGCTGAGTTCAAAGGGCCTTGCTTCCAAGCAAGCGTGCACAGAAATCAAAATTTAAAGGAAGCAGTCAAAAAGATGGCCCAGCATTTTCACTATCAGTACAGTAAAACCCTAGAAGCATGAACCTGCGTTTGCAGTGTAAGTTTATCAATAGGTACCAATTTGACGGAAACTTCAAAATTTAAAACCGCTCTACAATGTTCTTCACTGAGGGTTTTCCAATAAGGCATCTATAGCGTACCTCGGTTTTTATTTTGTTATCTCCAAAACACAGGTGCTGTAGGTAGGCCGCAGCGTTGGCTTGAACTGATGGGAACTGATGCTGAAGCATGTGGATGACCTCAGGTAATTCTGGATCCCGCCATGCAAATTCTCTTCATTGGATAAGCAGAGTTCAAAGCAAAGTGTGAATTCGTGTGTGTTATATATAACATTTTCAGCCTGCAATGAGTTAACCCAGTCCACCCGCTGACAACATTTTACAAAGATTTGTGTATAACTAAATTTCCAATGGTGAACTAAAACACAGTCTCAAAGATTAGCAATGGAAAGTCTAAGTAACAGGAATCGATTTAGAATTATTTCACTATGGCAACTGTGGGCAATTTGTTACAAGTATGAGGTATGCTTGCCTGGGATCTTTCTGGATGCTGTCTATGGATGGAGATCTTGTGGTACCATCATCAGCAGGAGGCACATGCTGCTGCATCCTGTTGTAGCTGGACTCAGAGAGCCGATAATGAAGCGACCTGTAGGGTTCTGCGTAGGTAGCCGTTGTGTTCAGAGCATAATTATTTCTTTGGTATGTAAGAGTGCTACGCTGACTGGATGACCTTTGTAGATTTCCAACACCTGGAACATAAAACAAATATCAAGATTGTTGTTGTTGTGTGTCCGTATGTGTTGTTGTGTGTCTGTATGATGATCGTCTTCCAAAGGAACTACTCTATTCCAAACTTAAAAATGGAACGCACAATGCTGGTGGTCAGCAAAAGAGGTTTAAAGACTGCCTCAAGGCAAATCTAAAAAAATGTAGTATGAACACTGACAACTGGGAAACACTGGCCTGTGAGTGCTCCAGTTGGAGAACAGCCTTTACCAAAGGTGTCATGGGCTTTGAAGACACTAGAACTCAGGACGCAAGGGAGAAACGTGCTAAGAGGAAGACACGCTTGGCAATTCCACACCATGATCAACTCCTGCCAGGAAACCAATGTCCCCACTGTGGAAGGACGTGTGGATCCAGAATTGGCCTCCACAGTCACTTACGAACTCATTGTTAAAACCGTGTTTATGGAAAACAATCTTACTCGGCTACGAATGATCGCCAGAGAAGAAGTATGCAGACAGACACACACACACACACACACACACACACACACACACACACACAGACACAGAGATTTATTATCTGATCTCCTTCCTTCTGAAACTCAACAAAACCTTTTGGAAGCAATGGAATATGCTTTTCTTTAAGCTGGCATGGTGAGGGACAGATGGACTGGGGTTTAGATTGGCTTGGATCTAAGATACCATTACTTAAGGAAGTTCAAAGAAGTGAAGCTGCACATCGCTTCTTCCATAATGGCAGCCACTTGTGCCCTTTAAGAGTCTATATCTTGGGGGTGGGATGCGGCACACAAAACTTCTAGGAGTCCCATTTTGGGCTTAAGTCATTTGGGCTAGTTCCCCTCCCCGCAGCAGCTAGCCATGTCCCATTGCATACTGTCTATGGGGGGGGGGCTACCTCCAGAGAGGCCTTTTAGGCAGCGCAAGTGGCCGCAGGGGCAAAGTGGGGCTGGGGAATTTTCCCTTCCTTGAATTAAGTTAGCTAGGATCCAAACCCTAGTGTTTTAATTTTAGCAATTTCACTGTACGTTACTTACATAGCTTAATTTGAATGCTGATGGAATTTGGCCATGATTTGAATGATGATGGGATTTTCAATTTCTTATTTCAATGCGTTATTACTCAATTCTGAACTGATGGGGTCAGTTATAAAGGTGACAAATAATATAGAGCAGCTAAATGGATCACACATTTAAAAGTATTTTTTAAAAATATTGTTTTTAATGCTTTTTTAATGCTGCCAAAACTAAGGATCTTGAAAATTAATAGTCCTGTAACCTCCTCTAAGGGAGGGTAGGCCGAATTGGATGGTATGTGACGTTCAAGGCTATTTTTAAAAGATTGCCTATAGCAGAGGTAAGTCTTATGGCCCCTTTACAGTGGCAGGTGGTGTGTGTGCTGATTGCTCCCTCTATGAGAGCAACATTCCCTTCTAGCCAGATGCTCCTTCAAGCATCTATGCACCTCTGGACCTACCCAACTTCCTTCCAGATAGAGAAGGCAGGAAGATATCTGTGTCCTTTAGCACCCCTCCCCACCAAATCTGTGGGGGAAGGAAAGTTTATGAATTGGGGTTTCCTTTTTCTAAACTTTATGGTTTCAAGTACACGCTGTCATATTATTTCAGTATTATTCTCCAACGAACATGGGGTGATAAAATAGTTCCCCATACTCTTGTAGCCAATTTAGATTTGGGGACAACAGGGATTTCACACTTACCAGATCCAGTTCGATATAACGCTGTTTGGGATCCTTGGGGCACATCAGCAGTTCCATGATTTGGACTGTGGTACACTGGACTGTAATAAGTTCTACCTTCATATATAGGGGTGATGTGCAGATCAGGAGACACCGTCGAACGCAGCTCTTGACCAAGTTGGCTGTGCTGACTAGCATATGAACTCCTCAAGCCTAGACGGAAAAGGGAAATGTGAGTATGTGGCAATTGCAATCTTCACAAACAAATCCCCATTTTCATATTGCAATCTTTTAGGCTCCAACTACGCATGTGACTCTCCCACGCATATGCATATCTCATCTTCTAATCGCAGCCTAAAATTCTATCAAGGAAGAAATTAATATATATGTTAATCTGTATTTCAAACAGATCTCTTCAGAGATAGGTGGCACCTATATCTTTTGCCGTTCTCCCTGTCCCGTGCAAGAGCAAAGTGGGGGGGAGTAGGCAGGGACAGGGTTATTGGTTTGTGTTTTGTTTTCACAAAGATCATCCCTTCAACTTTTGAGCGCATTGGTCCCTCTGGCCTTTACCAGAACTGCCAGATGGCTAGTTCAGGCCTGGTCTCACCTGTTCCTAACAAGGCCTCCAACGAAATTATTTTGTGCATAAGAAAGTGAGTGGGGAAAATCAAAATGTGCTTCAAGATGCCTTTGTAAGTCTTACAATAATTTCACTCCAGGCCCACTCAGTCACATGTTTTTGAACAGAGCATCCACGTTTCCTGTTCCGTTTTTATGCATGATTTAGGATCTTATCTTCCTCTTTCAGTTATCCTATCTTTTATTTTCCATCTAAAGTGAAAAATTCCAATTTAAACCTCTCCTTGTAGCTTATCTACAAGCCTAATGATTTTTGTACTCTTATTTCTTGCCTTTTACCAGCTCTATAGTTTCTTTGTTAAAAAGCGGCAGCTAGAACTGCACACATTGTTCAAGGTGACAGAAGATTATGGTATTTTAAAGCCTCTGTGCTATAGTTTGTATAATGGCAACAACCATTTTAAAAACATGCGACAGTGGAAGAAAATTTGCAGAAGGCCTTGGTTTCTTACACCTTATTTACTGTGCTCTGGGGAATGTTGTGGATGCTGCAAAAGTTTTGGGTCAGGCCCATAATGGTCATTTTGTACCACCCATGAACAATGGAAAAGCCATAATAGTCTTGATTTTTTATTTCATTTAATGTAGACCCACATAGATTCATCTGGCAAGAGCACAGTCTGTCAGTCAGCTGCCAATTATTTAAACTGCAAGGGGGTTGTACTAGCTTAGCCTCCAGCAACAAAATCTTCCTTTCTTTAACGTGTGATGAAACAATCTACCTTGCAGCTTAAGCGACCCTATGGTGTAGAAGGAACTGAACTAAGGGGACATGTGCCTTTTAAAAATGAGGATTTAGTGGGGATGTCCAGTGATCCAAGTATTCTGTCAGTGCATGTTTCACGAAATATCAGCACTTGTACAACATATCAACCCTATGACATAAGAACTTGCTTTGCTGTCCATCTGGTCTGAGGCTATGCAAAACCTTATTTTTAAGGATTTCATTCTTTCTATTATAAAATACAAAGCTGCATTGGCTCTTAAAAATCACAACAGTCATTATAGCGAAGAATCTATTCTAGTTAAATATGCTATACAGTGGTACCTCGGGTTGCAAACACTTCGGGTTACAGACTCCGCTAACCCGGAAGTAGTACCTTGGGTTAAGAACTTTGCCTCAGGATGAGAACAGAAATCGCGTGCTGGTGGTGCGGTGGCAGCGGGAGGCCCCATTAGCTAAAGTGGTACCTCAGGTTAAGAACGGTTTCAGGTTAAGAATGGACCTCCAGAACGAATTAAGTTCATAACCAGACGTACCACTGTACTGTAAGAGTTTTTTTTTAAAAAAAAACGAAGGCAATGTGTGAGAAGACAACCTGATTGAGCTACTAACCATGATATTTGCAAATGTCAATATTTGTTCTTTGCTGAATCGTATTGTGGTAACAACTGGTTCAGATGTGTTGTTAAACCTTCAGCCTTCCATCTGTTGGTCCTATTAAGTAATACAATTATTCTTTCTTCCTTTCTTTCTTTCTCAATTGCTCCTGGTTTTGTCAACACCAGTGCAATGTCATAAAAACATCATATGCCAGATTCACAAGTCATTACGCTGGTGCAAGGGTTTAGGACTACAGTGGCAACCACTGAGGTTATGGATATTGTGTGAAGATTAACAGTATTAAGAAATGGAATCTAGCAAAATCTTTCTAAGAATAATTTGAAAGGCTTTGTGTTTTGAAAGGCTTGGAAAATTATACTACTACATCTTCACTATGAAATAACTAGAAGATTCAAGACTGTGATATCAAAAGACTGATTAAAAAGTCATTCATATTTAGCTGCTTGGCACAGCATTCTTAAACATATTAAGTCAAGGCTTTCAGCACCCTTTCAAGTAGATTGGCATCTAAATATTTGCTGTTAAGGCACTTTTAATCAGGGCATTAGGACTTTGCTATATGAGTAATATACAGGCAGCATTGTTCTACTTCAAAATCATTGGCACAATGCATGAGGTCTTTTTTCATATTTTGAAATGCACTAGCTACATTTGACAAAAGTGAGAACTAAATTTCAAGCAAGCAGTCATTGCTTGCACTTCCTGTCATTAAACAAAGTGTGTTTCTCTTGCTTGCTTCCTATTTTTTTCCATATTATATGTGGTCAGTCACAGATTACGTGGTATATGAAAACCTGATACCTATACTGAGGTCTGCCTCTGGATTGTTTAATGATTCATTGCTTGTGTGCCCAGAAGTAATAAGGAAATACAAATCCCTTCAAGTATTGCACAGAGGGAGTCAGGAACACATAAATTGAAGTTAATTATGCAGTGCATATCAACAGTATAGGTAGTTTTCATATATTTCAGGCCCGATACCTGCTTTTTTCAAATGCAAGATCATTTTTGACAGGGATATTCATGGCACTGTTTGTCTCCAAGTTGAATAGAGGTAGCTTAAATTCATTCATATGGGAACAAATTTTAAAATGAAAGAATGGCAATCCATGGTGGTATTTTATTTGCACTTATTATTTATAGGTCACAATCTAATGCAAATTGTACATGTTTAGACCCCTGCAGGCTAAACAAAGTGGTGAATACTTCCTAAATCCCCACCCAACGATCTGCATGTGCTCAGATACGCATAATGCACTTGTACGTCCTGTCTTCATCAGTCATCTGGGTGGAGTGGCCGAATGTGCGCACCCACTCCTATAGGGATGAACTGGATCCCTCCATCCAAATGAAGATCTTGCAGGCAGCTGAAATTATCGTGTATACAGTAGAGCACTTGTGCCCATAAGCAATCATTTTATTAAGGCATTAAGTATATTTTTTCTGTGCATTTTAAAACTGTTTGTAGAAAATACGGAATAACTGAAGCTCATTGTTTTCAACTGAAGAATGTCCCTCCCCCTCTCACACACAAACCAAGCTCACGGCAATCAACTGAATGCAACCAACCTTATTCTGGGTTCTCCAACATCTCGCATTGCCAGCAAAAGCAAACAAAGAACCTACCCGCCTGACGCTGACACAAAACTCTGCACATACACTATGCAAAAGAATGAAAGATCATTATACCCCCTTCTTTCTCCCCCCCTCTCCACACTTTGCTCTCTCCCACAACTTCAAAATGCCTATGACAAAAGCGTTTCACACCAAATGTAGCTGACCTGTAGAAAGGACTCTATGAATTGAAAACAGAGACCCTATAGGTTCATTTGTTTATCCATGAAAATCTTTCAACAGAAACAAATTAAAAATAAAATAAAACTGCTAAGCCTCCACAGTATAACATTTCATCCTTTGTGATGAGAAATGAAGCGATTAATTCCGAAAATATCTACTGAAACAAGTCTGTGGAACTACAAACACATTCAAAGCAGCAACTTCAGTCTTCCTTTCAGTGAAATCAATAAGCTTTTCAGAGACACCTAACATCCGATTCCTACCCTTTGAAAAAATATCCCGATTTAAAATGAGGTCATAAAATCCTGTATTGTGTTGTTGGTCCTGTGCAGATTCCTCATGTGCAGGCACTGTGCCTATACAGTAACAGCATTTCAAGCATCAGTAATGGCATATTACAGCTCCTCTTGCCAACAGTGCAATTCATTGTATTTACAGGTTCGCGCAAAGTTTTAAGTTGTGTCTTTACCTTTTTACTAACCTGTAAGGCTATCTGGACGGGGTGGGACCATTTTTTCATATATATCGTACTGCTGTGCATATTGCTCAATATCATGAAGCGTCCGTTGTAATGTTGTCCCCAGATGTTGTGGAACGGCGGTCATCCCAGAACGTTTTGGCGATGAAGATCCAACTTGGGTTTGGGGTGGAGAGGCCACTCTTGTCTGTGTGTCATTTAGCGTAAGAGGGGACCCAACTCTGACAGCGGGCTGGTACTGGGGAGTTCCTCCATTGGGGTTGGTTGACTGCCTGGATGTGACCGAGCCAACTCTGCGCACTGCGATAGGCGAAGCTGGCCTCTGTGTGGTAAACGGAGATGCTGCTCGTTGTACAGGCAATGTTGTAGATGAAAACACATTAGAATTAAGAGATCGCGACTCAGTAACGGATGGTGAGCCATAGCCACTCCCTAAAGAAGTTCTGAGTGATCCCCTTGAAGGAGAAATGCCTGCGGTGGTCACATATGAGGGAGACTGGGCCCTCGATGGAACAGAACTTACGCGTCTCATGGCTCGGTTGGCAGCTATGTTTGAGGATGCCTGTTCAAAAGGAACCACGTATCATTTTGGTGCACAAAGCCAGCAGCCAGTGTAAAAGATCAACATTTTCGCTTGAAAATTCCTTTGCGGGCGCATTTGCACTAGAGTTCAGTCCCTTTGGTTTTAAAACGGAGAGTTAAGCTCATGTTTTAAAGGTTTCAATTCTCTACACATGCACAGAATTGCACTTCTCAGTCTCTGCAGTCTCTGCACTGAAATCAGCGGGACTTAAAATGCTTAATGTTTGCTGGATTGCGCCTAAAATGTTTTAAATTAAGTTTATCTATTGTAACTTCCATCAAGGATGCATTCTTAAAGAACAACAAGAATCCTCTTTGGCATCCACAGCCAAGCGAAACTATTAATTTCCAGAGTTCCTTGAGAGGGGCCAAAAGAGTAACATCCTTTGGATTGCGCTTAAATGTTGTAGTATAGATGTAGCTTTAATCTTGATGTTCCACTTTCCTTTTCCTTTTTTTTTTTACAGCAAATGTGTCACCAAAATCCTATAGAACTATTTTCTCCATTTAGTCTTTGCCTTTTTCATGTCTTATTAATAAGCCTAATAAATAAGTTACCATTAACACTGCACAGCCCAATGTCATTCTACAAAAGCTGGAATTAGGCTGAACAAAGTCTTGGACTTCCATGCCCTCCCATTCTCTCCTCCTGTGTAACTGAGAGAATGTTGCGAGCATTTAGTTCACCTTTCTAAAAATCCTGGCGTATGAACCAGTAATGACATGTAATGGCAACCAAGGATTCCTGAAAAGTGGAACTAAATGTTGGTGACCCGTCCCTCAACCACAAATGTTTAGAAGGGAAGTATGACCTTGAAGCTTTGCTCCATTATTTAGTCTTATGCCATTTATAGAAGCGCTGTTTGCTTTTAATTGGTGTTTTCTTTTTACTCCCCTCCCCCACTGTTTTGATGAGATCCTTGGAAGATAAAGGTGATATAGAAATGAAATGAAATGAAATAAATAGTGTTTTATTTATTCTTATATAATTTTAAGCCAGTCAGAGGACTGTTGTGGTTGAAGATGTAGAATACAAATGATTTATCAAGGTAAGTAAATTATTGTATTGGGTATTACATTCATATTTATATTACTTTTACACCATATCTATATTAGTATATTTATTTATTTCATCAGCTTTCCTTGAATATATTTTTGGAGTTACATGTACCTGAACCAAAGCCTGTCCTTCAGCCCTTGAGCTTCTCACCAAATGGTTATTATTTGCTCCGATAAAGGAATGTTGCTGTCTGTTCTCTCCCTTTATCAGGTTCTGGCTGTTGTGAAAACTGCTTACTTCCTGGTATCCACTGTCGGAATAAGAATTCATTTGTGTCGAACTCCTAGAGTTACCCACTGATCCTAAAGATAAAAAGCACAACGAACCTGAAGTTATTACACAGTTATGAATAAAAACAAGACCAGATTGATAAATCTCAGTTTATTTAAAATGTATATAACAGACCCTCACTTTCATGGAGCGATGTTTGCTCTGGGGAGTAGAGATTCCCTTGTTCTGGCTCTGTTCCAACATGATAAGAAGCAATATGAACACTCTCAGATGCTCTGAGTTTATTTACACCTGTGTTTGGCAAATCTGAAAGCAGAGTTTTGTTAGTCAATAATAATATCTACATCTATACGCATCTGCAACCTGGTACAGCTTCACCATTTCTGCTCAGTTCTATTCTACATACCATCTGCAGAGCAATTTTAGACAATTGTGCAAGAGCAATAGCTTTGTATATGAACATTCAGTTCTGAGAAAGACATAAAAGAAAAGACCATTTGTGGAGGTGGTGTTTTCTTGTCAGTTTTGAAAGCTCAACAGTACACACTTCCAAAGAAGGAAAATTCTGAAGCTGTTAACTGAAGAACATATTGTCAGCTGTGATATTCATTCTTGAACTTTAAGCATAAAACAAATATACTTTTTTTTAAAAAAAAGAAATCTCTGGCTTGAAAGACAAAGCATGATTGAAAAGATACCAGAAGGGATCAAATTTACATTCAGGAACTGATTCCTATATGAATTAGCTTATCTTGCTGCCAAATCCCATCCAGTAACTTAGGAACATAGGAAGCTTCCCTATAAGGACTCAGACAATTGGTCCATCTAGTTTAGTACTGTCTTCCCTGATGAAACACCAGCTCTCCAGAATTTTAGGCAGAGGTTTCTCCCAGCCCTGCATGGAGATGCTGGAGATTGAATCTGAGACATCCTGTAGGCAAGGCTGATGCACAAGGCTATATAGCCCCTAATTTCTTTTACAGTCGTACCTTGGTTCTCGAACAGAATGCATTCCGGGAGTCCGTTCGACTCCTGGAACCAGTTGAAAACCAAGGCGCAGCTTCCGATTAGCTGCAGGAGCATTCTGCAGCCAGACAGAAGTCGTGGAAGCTGCGCCAGATTTTCGGCTTCTGAAAATTGTTCGAAAACCAGAACACTCACTTCTGGGTTTCAATCGTTTGGGAGCTGATTTGTTCGGGAACCAAGACGTTTGAGATCCAAGGTACAGCTGTAATTTACTTAAAGGGTTTCAGGGTGAATTGCCTTTTCAAGTCAGGCCTTTTCAAAACAGAATTTGCGCAGTTCTTTTAAACAAAAATCTGCCACGACTGAGGAACATGAAACCACTGAGAAATCCTTCCTACTTGCTACATCTTCACATGAGGGCTTCTCTTCACTTTATTCACAATTGATGGATGATTTAGGGAATCTGAGATGGGGCAGCTGCGACTCAGAAATTTAATATTAAATCTGCAGCTTGGCAAGAAGGACAAGATCCTCAAACTTCCACTTATGGTTCAAATATTCACTGGGCAGCCTTGGGCCAGTCACGGTCTCTCAACCTAACCTGCCATACAAGGTTGTTGTGATTATTAAACGAGGTGAATACATATATGCATACAACTGGGAGGCAGAAGTTCTTGCTGGCCTACTGCAAATAACCGTGATCTTCCAACAGATCCCAACATGCTTCCTGCCTATCTCTGAACTAAAGAAATAATAACCTTTCAGTTCCTTAAAAGCCTAATTCTGAAGGTAATTTATCAGGGCTGGAGGAAGAAACCAAGAACTGGAAGCCTTCCAGGTCTCTTACATGAAAGGCATTTGAAGACTTCTGCACCAGGGAGCCATGAAAATGAATGAGAATGGAGTTAAAGTGGATTAGAGTTTTGGGGTGGGCTTCTTTGTTGTTGCTAGAGAGTTCCCATAATTGCACAGCTTGGTGCAACTAATTTTAATTAGTTTTGGAGTTTAAAAACATGAAAAGGGGGCAAGATAGCCAGCAAATATTCCTTACAACGAATGGAGAATGCAAAGTTAGGGACATCTCAGTTGTACGTCAATGTCAAATAATCCTGAAGATGTGCACTAGGATTATAGTTTTGACCTAATAAGTCCAGCTACTAAGGAGGAAGAGCCAATAACATTTAGATCCATGAAGGAAGAGCATTTTAATTTAATACATTTTAAAATAAAGCATGCTCACCCTGTGAATTAGCTCAAAATGTGCCTGCCAAATAAAAGTACCATATAACTAATTTTAAAGACCCATTCTAAGTAAACTTTCCACTTGTGTTTTCCAGGTAAGCAGTCCCCCACACTGCATAGAAAACCTTTTGTGAAGTGTCTTTCAACAACTACGGTATTTGTCATAGGACATGACTATTTTAAAGGGAGAAAAACAATCAGAAGTCTTAGGTGTGCTACAGTAACCACAATTTTGTTTAGCTGGAAAACACTGTACTGTATAAGGGTTTTGGTGAAGCCAGATAAATCCTTTCCACATACTAGCAAAGAGTTTTATTACAGCACTTGTTTTTATTTATCAAAAACACTTATATCCTACATTTCTTTGCGCAGTTTAAGGTGGCTAAAGACAGAAATAATAAAAGTGCAAGGAAAACCAATTAAATGTAAGAAAAATGAACAAAAAGTAGTAAGGGACAAATGAAAAACATCAGAAGTAAAAAAATATCAGAAACAGAGTAAGACAATAAGGTAGCCCAGGCTACTGATCTATAATGTTACAACTGTGGCTTTTAAGCATCCTACCCCACAAGGTATCATTTCTGCACTAGTGTGGCTACAAAGGAACTCCTGCATGTTTCACAGGATTCTGGGGCACATTCTGTTGAACACACTAAGTTGTTGAGTGGTACCAATCACGCTCTTAGCCCCACAAGCTAAGAGTGAGCTATGAAGCCATGAATATGAAACACATTGCAGAATATTCAATATTGGCATAATGTAGCTTATCTTCCATTACTGATTTTCTAGGAATACAGTTTGAAAATCACTGCATTATAATTATACTTAGAATGATAGTTCAATAATAGAACGTTTGTAGGCAGATGTACCATACAAGAAGAACACCATTTAATTTAACTGACGTAGCAACAAAAATGCTAAGGCTATCGTATATTCTTGCGTTCACATTTACAAATTGTGATGCTATATACAAACAATGAAACAGACACCTAAGCAGTCATCGCAGATGATGGTGCTTACTGGGTGAATGGGTTTTTCTCCCCTCTACACAATACAACTGTAAGAATAAGAAGTCACATGAAATGGCCCACGCGTTAGCAAACTGTGAGCGGAACAATAGACTGTGATCACTTTAATGAATATACACTGCAAGAAAATCTGTAAAAAGTAAGCCTTGCAAGTATGTCACTGTAAGATATATCAGAAGAACACCATTTTTGGCAAAAGGTAGTTTTGAATTTTTAAAAGTAGTTTATATTCTAAAAAAAATTCCGATATGAATATATATATATATATATATATATATATATTGCATTTTTTTGCATTTAGCACAACATAGATCAGTTTGCTTTGGAACAACTGCCAAATTTGAAGGGAAACTCATGAAATATGTAGCATTTGTACAGGGTACACCAAACATACAAGACAACTGTACCTGCAGATCTCCAGGGAAACGACTTTTCAGTAGAGCTATAGAAAAGAAAAGAAACACAATATCTTCAATTCCTTTCAGATGTTTTCCCCGCCCCTTTTGTTTTATAAACACATAGCACAATCAGCAACCTATTGGTGGATGGCTTCCACTAGAGTTCAACAGAGTACAATTTCTCCCTTCTACGTCCTTGGTATATGCTCACTGATAAGTGCTTCAGGGTGGCTGGGGAATGGCACCTCCCATATCTGCATTCAGTTCTTCTCTTTCACTCAGTCATATTGTGAGACACCCCCTACACACAGTAACTAATAAGTGAGATGACTGGATGTATGTATGACAGGCCCACAATGACCTCCCATTCCATCTCCAAAATTATCCACTACATTGCCTGCATACGTTGAACCTTACAGGGCTTTGGGGGATGCCTCTCCACATGGGTGCATAATACGAAACAGAACTGATTCCACACAGCCAGTCACTTAAACCTGCAATCCTTTGCAATCAAGGGAAATGTAGAAGACGCAACCTTGGTTGAAAGGGATTCTCCATTAAGAACAGCGGATGACAAAATCATGTGCATCTTATTGTGCATATGGTGAAGCAATCTCCAGTGAAGCAAATGAAGACACCTGCTCTCCCAGAGCTCTAGATGCACACTCAAACATGTGCAGAACAACAGGACTGGTGTGTCGTCAGCTGTATCACTTATATTAATTGTTTGTGTGAAATTAACACAGTGTTAGGAATGCAGTAATAAATTATAAACATTCATTCTAAAGTTAAGCACATTTAAAGTTCTTTCAGTTTCAATTTAAGGCAGATTACAACCATAGTTTTCATCAGTTATTTTTTTTATTTTTTATTTAAAAAGCAGTATTCCTTCTCTCTGGCATGCTGAATAATTTAAAACAATTTATGTAATAAAAAATTTCACTGCACGAACGTGATTCATTTATGTAAATGTGTTTACTCTTTATACTAGAACCTTTCGTTACTACAATTATGCTTTTAAAGAATCCAATTTCAAAATCAGTTTCGCTCATATGACAATATGTATCAAACTACATACATGACATACACAGAAGAAAATAATCACATTAAATGTTTAGATCTATTTACATGTCAAAGTAAAATTAGAAAGAAAACCGCTTAATTTATTTTGACTTTATTTACAGACTGGCAGTCAGTGCAAGAAAATATTTTGGTGCCGCACTTTCTCATGCATAAATCCATACAAATGTGCTCCCCTTTTATATACATTCAATATCAAACTTTCCACAAGGAAGGCACTAATAAGAACAGAATGAAAGGCAATGTGGAGAGTTTCTGCTCACTTCTGTTAACTGCATTAAGATTAGGAGTCAAATCTCCAATATAAAAGTTAACTGTGCCTGATATAAATGCCTTGGTAACATTTACTGGGAGAATTCTTTGGCACAGCATTTCAGCACTTTCAGTCTAAATTATCACTTCCACCCAGGGCATTTCTGGAATTGTCAAGGCAACTAACGAGAAAGAATGGTCACAGTCTCTCCAGCAGATCGATAATACCTATAGATATGAATCTTCATCACTCCCTACTCAAATATTTTTGATGGACTTAACCAATATCTAGAGATCTAATGATCTCATGAGAAGATGCATTTCTGAATAAGAATGCTATTACAATTGCAATACTAGCTGCTAACTGAAATGTGGCATCTGTAGCTTAATTACATGCACCCAAAACGAACGAACAAAAAAAAAGCTCTCGTTAACTGAGGCCTTTTGTCTTTCAAACACAGCCATTGATGCTGAACAAATTACCCTGTATAGTTACAGATCAAATTCAGGAAGATGTGTGGTGTCTGAAGGAGCAGCCAAAGGATTTCAGGTACGCAAGGAATGGGCCAAAGCTATGCTAAACTGTTACATTTCCAGCAGAGATGTCCCTCTGATGGCTTATCACCCTCTCCTTCCTCTCAGATTTCCTGTTTTCTTGCTCTTCATTTATAAATAAACTGGGAAGTTGCATATGCACAAATATGAGAGTGGGGGAGAATGTGAGAAAGAAGGACCACTGCCATATCTGAAGTGGTGTCATCTTGTTTACACAAGAGAAGATGTATCTTAAAATTTGATGCACGGTGATATGTTTCCAGCATAAACTGGGGGTGGGTGGGAGAAAGGTGCACATCTCCTACTACCCCTATGACTAGCAAGTCCACAGGTATCCCAACCACTAAGGAAAGGCAACCAGATATCAGAAATTGATTGCCATGTGTCATAACAGTATTTTTCACTCATTGTGTGCATGGGGTATGACTGCCACATAAGGAGGCAGTGATGCATCAAAAGGTCTGAGACTCTGTGCAACTCAACAGGGATGGATTGGCACGGTTTGTATTAAAAGGTGTGCAAGCATTTATTCGCTGGTATATTTACTAACCCATTCAGCAGACAAGAGTGCCAGTCAACCCAAGCTATGCCCAGCTAAAGTGAAAATAATCAGTTTATTACCTATATAGCAGGCAAGCATGGGACTGCTAGTTTTGATTTTGTACTGTGGGTATATTCAATGTTTCTTTCTTTCAACTGTGTAGTTCTGCTCTAAGCCCATCAACACCTACACCCCAGATGGGTCTTGTTAACTGAGTAAAGAATGACCTTCTATCATTGCACAGTGTGACATAATTTCTAGCAGTTGCATCACAAAAAGTGTTAAGATTTATTTCTGAAAGGTTGCCATATTAAATACAGAGGCAAAGGGAGATGGACCAGGTCATTTCATTTGCTGACTCATTTGCTATATAGAACAGTCATTTTCAAATCCAGGAACACAGTTCACCCCCATTACAACATGAGATCCTCTTTATTTAAAATAATAAAAATGTGTCCATTGTTTTTCATGTCTCCTTTAACTTCATCTCCCATTCTTCTCTGAAAAAAGACCTTTTTAAAAAAGGGATGGGGAACTTATCATTGGCCATGTTGGACTGTGACCAATGTAGCTGGATTCTACCAACATTTCCGGGGGGCACACACTACATGATTTCCAACTCCACTTCAGAACTAGTGGAATGGTACAATGTTAGGTCATGACACAACCCCTTGTAGGTCCTGACCCATAAACTGAAAACTAAAGCTGTAATGTTTGCTTAGGCAGCCCATCAGATGCTTGTCCCCGACGATAAAAACAAGCCTATTTTGAAGGCTAACAGCTGCCCCTTTCTTCCTCTTCCGCCCCATAAAACTCACAGATTGGAAAAAACAGCTTATGTAATTCATATAAAAATGTAATAAATGCAACAGTCACTTAATGAATACTGTATAAAACAAATGGGATGTGCATGCTAAAATACATTTAGATGGATTATAGTACAATGGCAGGCTTCGGGGCTGGAATGACAGTGGGGAAGGCATATATAATAAAGAACACCTCATTAACCTTTAGAAAATGAACAAAATTTCTTAGCCAAACACAACCCATTTAATACTAAAGACACAACCAATTAATTCTGAAAATCAGCAAAAATATTTTAATAGACATATTAAAAAGAGAATTTCCAAAGGATGTATACACACTGCTTTTCGAAATTACCTTAATACTCACTTACATGGTATCTAGATTGCTGAATTGATAGGGAAAGTAATTTTTATTGTTATTACACAATGGAGTATGAATGAATATCACTTCCTCTATTTGCAAAGTTCAAGGGTAAGTGCTGTCTAAAATGACACCATTCACAACCAAGAGAAAGGCACTGCAGCCTGCGGGGGAGGGCAAAGGTTTGCAGAAATAGAAATTAAAAAATGGCCTCAAAAATCCCTAAGGGGGGGGGAATCCCAAAACAGCCCAGAGAGGGTTGAGCATGTTCAGCAGCCACGGAACAATGACTCAGTCAGAAAAGAAATACAGTGGTACCTTGGGTTACAAACACCTCGGGTTACAAACACTTCAGGTTACAGACTCCGCTAACCCAGAAGTAGTACCTTGGGTTAAGAACTTTACCTCAGGATGAGAACAGAAATCATGTGGCGGCAGCGGGAGGCCCCATTAGCAAAAGTGCGCCTCAGGTTAAGAACAGACCTCCGGAACGAATTAAGTTCATAACCAGAGGTACCACTGTATGGAAAGGAGGGGCTGGAATCGTTTGGATGGTTCAATGTGTCTGGTGAAAAGGAAGGTATGCTTGGGCATCAAACCACAATGCCTCTCACCAGTGACTGGATAAGCTCTGCCACAAGCAGTTCACGCCATGGTGAACCTCAACAATGGTCAACCCCGGCTGTCAAACTACAGTCATCAACCAGCAGGTGTGCTGGTTGTTGATCGTGTGGAGTCATGGCCAATGCCTGTGCCAAACCTTTTGCACTGTGATCAATAAAATTGTGCCCTAATTTGATCCAACACCAGTTTGTGTATGTCATCATTTCTGCCTGCTCCTGTACCCTTCCAACTCACTTGGGGCTGCCATGTAGATCTTTCGGAACTGATGTTATATTCCTTCCAACTATATCACTTAATTTCCTACTGCCACATTTTGCACTAATTGAAGCTTTTAGGTTGTCTTCAAGGGTAGCCCCACAGCAATCCCTTTGGGAAGTTACTAGACTGCGGTTAACTGTAGCAAGACTACTCATGTCCAGAAATGTTTGTAGCTGCTGAAGCTGGTTGAAAGGCACTCCATGACACTGAGTTCCCCTGAGCATTCAGTGACAAGGCTGAATCCAGTACAACTCCAAGCTACAAGTTTTGGCTACCAGCCCCTGACTGCGCTGCTGTACAGAAAGTGTTGCCCTTTAAGATCCCTTAAGGGGATTCCCCATTGGGCTGGTACAGGATGCTCCTCCTTACTAAGGATTCTGTTTGCTTCCAAGTCCATTCAAGTTTCTGGTAGCTTACCTTTGAAGCCTTAAATGACTTGGCACCCAAATATTTGAAGGAGCACCTCACCCTATACTACCATTCTGTGTCTCTGGGTGAAGTTTGTTATGCATCAATGAAGGATAGAACCACCTCTGTGGTGGCACAACCTTCTCTGTGGTGGTGTCCTGTCTTTGGACAACCTTCCTTGTAATGGTACAACTGGTGCAAAGCATTACATTCATTTTGGTGCCATGTCAAAATTCTCTTATTCACCCAGGCATTTTAACATTTGAGATTTTGTTCTTTGTTCTGCTTTGTTCATCTAGGTTGTTGTTTTATAATGATGGTATTTTTAGATTTAATTGCATTATATTTTTAAATTTTATTTTAGTATATGCACACTGCTCTGGAATCTTTATAGATGAAGGCTGGGCTAGAAGCATTTCAAATCAATAAATCTATGCAACCCTGGTCCATGATGCATAGCTCAATATAGAGGCCCTGTGGTGTGGGGAAATTCTTTATGCAGATTTATAGAAGCATAGGACCTATATATTGTGATATGCATTAGACTGTCTAAAAAGCCTTCATGATTTGGCCTTTTCATCCCATGTCTTTAGGCGCCAGACAAAAACATTTGTCCATAACCAGGCCTTTGGCTGATTAAACCATCTATGGCCTTTTAAATCTGTTTTTAGGGGCATAAGGGTTATTGGTTTTTTATTTAATTGTAGTTTTCATTTTGTATTTTTGTGTTGTGAACCTCTCTGTCATGTTCAGATGAAGGGTGGTATACAAATTTAATAAATAACAGTAACAAACAAACAAACAAACAAACAACAATAATTCCCCAATAACATAACACATTAACAAAATGCTTTTCAGCAGGATGAAGATATTCAGATGATGGGTATATTCACTGGACCAAACCTCACTACATTAAGGTATACATTCAGGTATGTCAAGCATTCAGCTAATATGCTGAATGTCTGGCTAGAACTTTTTCAACCAATACACACAGAGACAGCTGAGGTATTCAGTTTTTGGAACTTTCCAAATACAGTACTCAATTTATTGAGTTTAACACTTCACTGGCCTACTGCAGGAGTGCTTTACTTCCAATATAAATCAAAATAATGTTCTGTTTTTATTGGTGTGGAACAAGAAATGATCGGCTACAAATAACAAAATAAACTACCCCACTAGTTTTGGAAGCTATTCAGTCTGAATTCTTCATAATGCCACAGTATTAGGTTTGTTGCAGCCAGCTTGAATGCTTCAGTTTAATAGGAACACTGGGTAAATTACCTAAAGCATAAATGCTCTACAGGAGATTTAGATATACATTTTTAATTCCAGCTGGTGGGGACCATTACAATTTGGATTTTTACATCCCAGAGGAAATTGACTTGTGGCATAAAATGTTTGTGAACAGAATGGCAATGAGTAGAAGTAATTAAAAATGGCTGCTTCAAGAGCTCTGCTTCAGTGAACTGCTCCAAATAAACTGCACTTCTAGAGATGTACTTCTCCAGTTTTCACTGGCTGGAACTGGCCGGGTGTTTACTGTACTCTTCCTATACTTCCTCTTTTAAAGCAAGCATAATAATAACAATAGCAATAAAACCTATAAGCTTTCATACAAGACTTTATATTTCAATCTGTGACCAGCACACTTGGCTTAAGAGACAACCCTTTTCTGATATTAGCTAAGAACATTTATTGTGTCTTTGCGTAAATGAGCATATAGGCCATTACATTTCATTTCAATCCAACCATCGATGAAGCATGGGGAAGTTTCAGAGATGGAAGGCTTGAAAGCTGGCTCCAAAACCAATCTAACTACTCCTTTACAAATCTTGGGTTGCTGGGAGACTCGAGATCAGGGAAAGAATAGCATGCGCTGAGGACAAAGTGACATTAAATCACAAGATACAGAAAAGGGAAGTGAAACGGCTTCATTGGGCTCAATGGAATCCAATAAAGCATGACATTGTCCAAAAAAGGTCAAAAAGGGGCTTCTCTGAGGAACACTCAGAGGTGGAAGAGAATAGTGGGGGGTGGGGACACATAATAAACTACTTCACTAAGACCTAAACCGTCTAGGGTTTTTCCAGACCTCACTATTTTTGAGTGAGCGGTCCTTTGTTGATGCATGCAACAGACCATAGACAGCTGTAAAGGAGGAACTGGAGACATTTTGTGGAAGGTGGCCATTAACCCAAAGGACTCAAAATTGAACATCCACATACAGAACGACACTGGATATTAGTTTCAAGGAAAGGGTAACTGGGTGATAAGAAGAGCAATCATCATGCTCAAACCTGGCTGTAACAGGGTGTTTGGAAGCGAGCCTACTATTTATCAGCCCCAGAGGTTGCAGCACAGGTAGCATTCAGGCTTTAAGCAAAAGTCTAGCCTTTAGTCAAAAGTTTGCTATGTTCGGACTCTTCCACTCCTAGTATGTGTATATGCAACGTAAGCACTGATGAACAAGAACAGTCCCTGGCCGCCTGCTTTGAATCTGTTTGTACATATTTTGTATGCCTGATGCATACAGCAGCAAATAGCTATGGTCACTATCTTCAAGAGTTAAAGTACAATAACTTTCAGGAGCTGAAGTTCAAATACAGCTGCTGAAATATTATTAATTTATATAAGACTCATATACGATTCACATTTATAAAATATGAAGCAACTCAGGAAAAGCAATAGTCCACAGAAATTTGCTTGGCTTAGTACCCAGGACTTGCTGCACATCCCTTTCCCTCTGGCACATGGAAAAGGCAATCGGGTCTCTTGCTTCTGCTGAGGTTCAAAGAAGGCAAAATGCCTACTGTTTCTTGACTCCTCCATACCACAGCAGAGTGAAAGCCAGGGGAAGGGGATGTAAGCTGTGAAGTGTCCTAGCAAGAAGAGCCTCAGAGGACCTGGCCTTTTGTAAGCAGATGCCTGGACACCTGCTTAGTTGCCAAATTCAAGATTTGAGATATGCACCGGGGGGGGGGGCAGTGCATCAGAAACCGAGCAAAGGTATAACCAAAGCTCTTATGACTATATCCAGGCTTCCTCAAAAGCGGCCCTCCAGATGCTTTGAGAGTACAATTCCCATCATCCCTGGCCACTGGTCCTGCTAGCTAGGGATCATGGGAGTTGTAGGCCAAAAACATCTGGAGGGCCGAGTTTGAGGAAGCCTGACTATATCTATTTTAGAAATGCATTACAAATAAAAACATGTTTAGTGACTGAAAGAGGGCTACAATAGGAGTTAAAAAACTAGTGCTGCAATCTCACACTCCCTTATTATTTAGACCTGTGGCTGATGAGGTGCAAAGGGTGCCTTTGGACACTGCTATTGCTTCCTTGCCAGCACTTGCTTAATTCACTGGGGGAGAATTAGAGGCTCGAGTGACTGTAATGGAAGAGTGAGTCAAATGTCTGAGCCATAAGTTGAGACATTTCAGAAGCGATGTTTAATGCTAGTTGGCAAAGAAGAATACGGATTCCCTGGTTCTTCACTGCAACCTGTTGTGTTACCTATTACCTTTATACACAGCGGATCTCAAATGTTGTTTCTACCACTGTATGATACTATTAAGAGCAGCCTTCCTCAATCAGTGGCTCTTCAGATGTTGCTGTACTACAACCTCCATAAGCTGCACCCATTTTGGTCAGGGATGATGGGAGTTGCCGGTCAAACCATCTGGAGGTCACCAGATTGGGAAGGCTGCTGTACAGCATCTACTCAAACCCAGAAAACTAACTGTCATTTGAACACATTTAAAAGGCAATGTAGCAAAGAATGAGTTCCCTGATAGTTGTGCATCAAATCTGCTTTTGATTTCAAGCATACCACTGAATGTCTTAAACACAGGTTCCATGGGAGTAATTAAAATGTTTCTGTGTTTTGGATGAAGAGTGGTAGACAATTTTAATTTTTAAAAAAATTATATACATCATTGAGAGCGAGGCCTACCAAACAGAATAGGTGTTGTGAATATCCAATCAGTTAAGCAGTTTGCCAAGAGCGTGTAGCACAATTTGTAGGAAATAAGTGCAACAGAACGCTCCCGCACTTGTGATTTCCAGCATACTACCTCGGACACTGGAGGAATAACATAGCCTTATCCTCCATCTGTCCAATCCTCTTTTAAAGTTATACATCTTGGTCACCATTCACTACATCAGTGTGATGTAGTACCTCCTACAGGCTAGTTTATGAGACGTTCCGTTTGATTGCATTGTGATGCTGTGTTTAGCTTCAAATTGTAACTAAGGAGGCATTTGCTCCAGCAGATTCCAGCTTCCGGAGACATCTGGCCCAGAAGGCCCCCGGATACGCTTCTAACCAAGACAGGCTGTTTCTTTTTGTAGGTAATAGTTCTAAGTGTTTAGGACTGATCTGGTGGGGATGAGAACATTTAATGAACTGTCCAATCCACAGTATGCATTTGAAATCGTAAAAGAACCCTTCATGTTATTTATTCGTCTTCCTACAAATATAAATCTCAAACTATGCGGTATCGAGTCCCCCCCCCCATCCAAAAGATGCGCCAGAGCTAGAAAAATATATTAGATGTATACAGCCTAGCAAGCACTCATCCTGGAGAAAATGTTGACCAACAAGATTTAGAGCCAAATTGCTGCTGACAAATTTCCAAGATACATCTCACTTAACGGTTTCCCTCTGGCCCGTTCCTTCCATTACTTACTGTATTATAGGAAAATATTCACAAATCGACATGTGATTTTTCAAACGCTCTTACAGATTAATGCCGTCAAATGGTGAAGAAGACATGAAATATGCTAACAAGGAGACAAAAATTAATGGACAGTGACCCACTAGGCTTAATAAGTCTAGATATAAACAAGTGTTTTGCCCATTCCAACAGACCATTCATGTAAATTGCAATTAAACCAGGAAGCCTCTAACCATAATTTCTTATTTTGTCTGAACCAGGAAACTATAATTGTCTGCTCTGGCGCAAGCTAGGATATGAAGCCATTAATTGAAGTTGGTTTAATATTAAATCAAATTCAGAACATGATTTGACATCCTGGCTTATTCTGGAACTGGTAACCATAGTTTCCCAGTTTGTATGAAGCAGGAAACTGCAACCAATTAGAAACATATTGTTATAACTGCAGCTCACAGAAAAGGAGGAATGAAGGGACTGCATGTGTAGGCAAAAGGCTCATTCATTTCTCTGCTTATTAAGCACCAAAGTGATTATCCAAATGTCACCATTATCTCCACTAATTTCACATGCAATACAACTGAACAAAATATGGTGTTGTATATGCATATTTATCATCCGTCCTGTGTGTGTGGACATCATTCTAAGATGCTTTTCAATCTCTTGCACACTTAGTAACTCCATTGATTGAAAACTCAAAGAGATCACATGCGTAATGAAAGGAATACGTAGTGGGCAGGGACTTGTGCACATTGGGCTATTTTTGTTTTATGCCAGCCACTCAGTTATCAAACCTAAACATGAACATTTCAGCCTTTCATTTCTTCTTTAAACTCCTCTACATTGTGCCACTCTTTCCAGTGATTATGGAAATCTTGCCACTAGGTGAGCAGCTAGATGCTTGCCTAGAAAAATAGCTGCTTCTGAATTTTTGACAGGTTACATAAAATACATGCATGAAAAATTGATTTAATTTTCCTGCTAATGATTTTTCCTAAGCCTCTATTACCTTAATTATCTGGACAGCCACCTATTAAACAAGAATGATCAGTATCACATGTTTGTTGCAGATGTTGATAGGTATAAAGTGTACTATTGCATTATAGGAACAACAGGAATATATGGAAAGCACCAAGAAAGCAATAAGTACGTTCTAACTCATGAGAACCCAAGTTGCTTTTGTTTGTTCCATCTATTTTAGCTTCACTGCAGTGTTGTGTTCTGACTATTTGAGGTCCTATTTTGCTGTGCCTCCCCTGCCCCTCCCTCCAGTTTATACAGGACAACCTCCACAAAACTTTGTTGTGGACTTGTCTTTCTGACTTGGTTACAGCAGTAATCTTGCGATGGTGTGAAGCTAGTATGAACTAGTGTAAACTCCACACTTTGGCTGTGAAGCATGTTTTGGCTGACTGAAGGCAGAGGTGCATGCGGATAGCTTGGTTGGTGCTGATAAAGCCAAGGTTGCAGGTTCAATCCTGGTATGGGACAGCTGCATATTCATGCATTGCAAGCGGGACTAGATGATCCCCAGCGTTCCTTCCAACTCTATGATTCTATGACCTCCAGGCAGAAATTACCACCCAGCACTTCCGGGTATGGTTCTATAATTGATTATTATTATTTTTTTATTTTACCTATGTATTTCTATCTGGTCTTCTCAAATAAGTTGCTCAAGGGGGCTCACATTAAAAAACAAAAAGCCAACACACCAGTTTTAAGGATCTTAACACAACAGAATAAAGCAAGTAGCGAAGGCAAAATATGACACCTGAAAGATAACACCAATGCCAGCAGGACCTCTCCGAAGCAGAAGCAGCTATAGCAAAGAAGGGACACTAGCACATCCACTGAAAAAACCTTCTCTTTGTCTAAGCTACCCAGTATTGATCTTCCATGCATTGGAATTTATTCTTTCCAAGGATGAAAAGGAATCTGCACACTTTCAAAATACTGTATCATCCATTCATTAAGCAATCCAGAACTGCTTTTGAGAACTAGCTCTATTTTCCCCCACACATTTGTCATACATTATTATTATTATTATTATTATTATTATTATTATTATTATTATATTTGTACCCCGCTGATCTGGCTGTGTTTCCCCAACCACTCTTAAATTGGTTTATTGCTTATTGTTTAAATTGTGGATATAACAGAACAGAACACTTTAAGGCATTGCCCCTTCTCCGGGTAAGTGGAGTCTAAGAGGCATCTGTACAGCTTCTGTTCTCCAGGAGAATAACAACTGACACATTTTAATTCCAGGCCCAAACCAAACTTGAACTGCCTTCTGGATGAAAAAAAGAGGTCGATCCAGTCCAACATTATAAATTTCAAATTTTGTCAGCCAGATGATCCATAAGTTCACAAAATCTCTTGCAAAGATCATTTGCAAAGGCGAGATCACGTGCAAATGCTTTAGATCCCTTGCAAAGGCAAAATCATGCAAAACCAGAACAACTTCCGGAACTGGAACTGCCCCTGCCATCCTAGATCTTGCAAAAACTCATGTGCCATCACAGAGCCCAGCAAACAAGATGGAGGGCCTAAAAGCTATTTTCGTGCTGGGAAAACTCTATGTGGAAAGATATTTTAAGCCCTTGGCCTGCTTACCAGGTTCTGGGAGGTTCCTGTGAGATCTCCGATGGCCCTGCGAGATTTCACGAGAACCTCCAGAGCCTAGCAAGCAAGGCTCTCCTGCCTCTTTCTTCCTTTTCGTTTATTTTTCAGTAGTCCACATAAAGCTTCAATCACGTAAATGAAATCCATGTAAGTGATAGCCCCGGTGTATCTGAGGAGGGGCAAGGAGCCATTGAGGCAGGCGTGTTCTACTTCATAAGCCTCTTGCTCATGCTGGGATGCTGCCTGCAGTTTGGGGGTCCTTACTCCAAAGGAGATGGGAGGAGAAAAGCAGAGGAAGGCAGTAAAGAATTTGCAAATTGCAAAACAGTTGTTAGTGGGGCAGGGTGCTTACCAGGAGGGAAAGGGGTGAGGTGACACCAAGGTTGCTGTGGTGTAAACACAGCGACAGTATCATAGTTCTCTTCACCAAGGGACACCCAGAAAAGTGTCAAAAGGTATTTTACTAATGTATCTGATCCTATAAATCAGAAATCTAGGGAAGGAGAGGAATGGCAAAATTCTCACACGTAAAAGGATTCTGATGATCAGCTTACTAAACGGGAACCTGCACACAGCGGAAAGTTACTTCTCCATAAATGGTTAACTGCAGCCACCCAAGCATACATTCATTGTTTGTTGGGTTGACCATCTGGAGAGTAATCAAGCAACCAAAAGTCCTAAACTATAAAATCCAGTGCTTTTTTTCTGGGGGGGAACAGGACGCATACCCCTAAACACTGTGTGAATCTAAGTTTGGCCTCATTGAGGGGCAGTATTTCAATATGAATAGGAAAATGAGAGAACCCTAAACATTTTTTAAGGGGGAAAAAAAGCACTGATAAAATCCAAGAATCTCAAGTAGCCATTCGCAAAAATAACTGCAACATCAATCAGTGACAAATACAATGCTCACACATTAAAAGAGAATCTGAGATTGCACAAAGTGCGATGAAATAAATGTTTGTTATAAGTACATAAATGGGAGTTTGGAAATAAAAGACTCTGGGATGTGTACCTTGTGCTTGCAATACTCGGTGATTCTGCTCCAAGCCTGCATCTTTCTAACTGACTGGCAACAATCTGCCTTTCCACCTCAAGCTCTCTGGTGAGCCTTTGAAACTGGAGCTCCTGTAATAATAATAAAAAAAGAATTTTAAAATTATATATATTTAAAAGTGCTGTGGGTAGGAGGGTAGGATAAAAGAAATATATTGGTCCACACATCTCAAAGCAAATAAAGGAATTAAAGTGAACTAAAAATAAGAAACAAAACCCCTTTTCCTATTAGTAAGTCATCTGAAAAATCAGTACATATCCATGAGCAAGGACTTGCTTACCACCCCTTAAAGGCTCCTCAAAAGTTAGCTTGAGGGTGCTTAGTTACCGAAAAATATGGCCTAGTAGGATTAATGTCACTTTAGCATACAGCTGAATGTGCCAAGGTACACATATCAAGTTTTTATGGCTTGAAAGCAGTTTATGATTCACTACCATAATCACTGGAGTGAGGTGTTTTACAAGGGAAGAAATATGGCAGCCTCTGTGCAAAAGGTTCACAGGCCAAGTTGGCAACTAGTTCCTTAAATAAGGGTCATACTTTGAAATAATAAGCAAGGGCTGAATAGCCTTCAATTGTTCACCTCCGTGCAGGCCAAGTCATAGGCTGCTGAACGGTGTCAACGGTAGAGGTTTTGGAAAAAGCATTCTCCTTATATGTACATCAGCTGCTCATTCCTGTTTCCCAAGATGAGAAGACTTCCATCATCCATCCATCTCAGAAATCAGTGTTTGCAAATGCAGTTACCACGTGCCACTCAACTACCTCTCTTTTTCTCTCCTCCCTCTCTCTTGTGGAGCTCAATAAATTAATTAGGACCTTTTGGGGTTTTCTTTACTCTAGATGCTATCAAGAACATACCTCAATGCAACCGAAAATTGTGCGACTATACATTTTTCTCCCATAAAATTGCACCACCAGTTCCTGCTGCTACAAATCTATTTTGAGGTAATATTAGAAAAAGTCATTGCAATTTTTAAAAAAAACAACAACTCTGCATATAATACTGAACTCCATTCGCAAATGTTTTGTCGCTTTGGGTGTTTGCTCTTTACACTTTATAGAAGTAGTGTGGAAACAAAGGCCATAATCAAAAGCAGGAGATTCCCAAAAATTTGCGGGGAATTACTTAATTATTAGAAAAGTTGTACATGGCCAAGCAGGTTCTGAGTCCATTCTTTTATAGCCCCTGCCCTGCTGCCGTGTGTTTCGCTTTGAGTTCCATCAGATGTTCCACTGGCCAACACTGCTAATAGAACTTCCTTCCCTGGATCACATTCAGTACTGAACCCTTTCTACAAATCACCTTTTAATTACAACTTCGAACAAATTCTGGAGCAGGAGTGCTAACCTGCAGTCATCTAGATAATGTTAGGCTCCAGTTCCCATCATCCCTAGCCAGCTTGGCTAAAGGTCAGGGATTAAGGAAGTTGTATGTATTCCAGCAACATCTAAGGCCCACAGGTTTCCCAGCCTAGTTGTAGAGGTAGCTCTTCTGTCACACGTGGACTGTAATACTATCCTCAGAAGTGTGGCAGAAGTGCTCACCTAACCTCCCATCCTTTCACTGTTGCTGCTTACCGGGAGGTAGAAGGGGAGGTCATCACAATGTTTTTGCAGTGGTAAGCCGCAGGGATGCAACTGACTGGAGGTCAGGTGAGTGCTGTTGCCCCAGCTTGCCTTCTGCTATCGATTACCATGTATTTAAAAAACCTATACCTAAGTTTTTCTAACAGAGGTATGTGTCTTGTTTGGACTGGCCAACTTAGATGCATGTTGCCAACAGTCTATGCCAGCTGAGAATCAACATTTGGAAGCCAAGTCCATCTGGCAATTCAATATCTGTGCCAAGTCAGTATTGGTTAGAATGTCCTTTCGTCTGCCTTTTTAGTCCAGTCTCTGTTCTGATTTCTAGGATAAATCTGCTTATTAGTTCACTTGCTCCTCGGTTGTTTATTAAGCTTAAACCACATCATTTTATTTCAAAAGTTGAGGAGAGGTGTAAGAAGGAGGCTGTAAAAGCCACCCAAGTTTAGAAAAGTCAATATGACAGTCAATTTTACTCTTCACAGCTGGTTAATTCCCAACAGCCTTCACAGACCTGGGCAACCTAAAGGTGTGGTGATTATTATAAGAATGAGATCTGTTTGGCCTTGTGTTAGAGCAAAGTGTGTTGAACCAAAAGAGTTCATGCAGCTACATATGTTATTTGCTTGACACAAACAGAACAGACAATTATTCTTTGATGCAATGGTAAAATACTCCCCACCCCCTTTTCTTCCACAAGAAATAGCCCCCAAGGCTAGAAAAATTCAAGAGATCTAATTGCCCAAACACCTAGACATTTTTTGTTGGCTTCTAGGAATATTTTGGTTTCTAAACATTTCTCCCAGGCATCTAAATGAGCCCAGATGAAATATCTCCATCTCCTATCTTTTTAGAAAATTGACAGATTCACATAAGTAAAGTTCAGTGTTATTAACATATGACAGTAAAGTTATCTGGCTGCAAACTTCCATCAGAAGGAAAATGAATGTTAATGGTTCCAATTAATCCTCTAATAAGCTTCGTACATGCACAATAAAATGGTGTTGAGTATATCATTTGTGTTGAAGGGTTTAAATCTTTTTACCGGCATTTATAGACAAGGTCAGACTTCAGAACAAACAAACATCCATTATACATCATGTAACAGCCATCCATAAAATAAATTTAATGGATGTTAGAATGTCAGCCATTAAAATGATGATTACTTGAAGACTGTGCATAAGCCCCTGGTCTCTAAAATACAGTAGCCATGTATTCAAGTTGTTGAGCTTTTTTTGGCCAAACTTGTTGGGAGTTTTATTTTGCGAAATCACAAAAAGAAGTTTTAGAGCTCCCTCCCCCCAAAATCGCCAAAATCACCACTTCTGATATGGGTTGCCATATGTCCAGATTTTTCCAGACATTGAAGAATGGGCAAGTTTCATTGATTTAAAGAAATATTGTAAACAATTAAACGCATTAGCAGGATTAATATAAAACCAAGCAGTTAAAAGGTGATTTTGTGGGGGGTGGGGTGGAGTAGATAGAATTATAATAAAAAAAAGATGTCAAGGGGGGAGGTGCAGTTTAATTAAACGGTTTCTCTATGTAACCAGAGAAGGATTAGAGGGAAGTCAAAATGAAAGATACAAATATAAAGGAAGATTAAAGATAAAGATTATCATTGTTAAATTTAAAACTGAAAAATAAATAAATAAATAAATAAAAAATACATACTTAAGGGGTATCTGCACAACTTTCTAGCATCTACATTTAAAACGTAGGAAGCCAATGTTTCGTTTCCCCTATATATTGCTTAGCTTGGTCTTTCAGGAGCTGTGAATTCGAAACAAGATTGCTAAATCTACAGCACACTTAATTTACGTTTACTTACAGAACTAATATTTGCATCAGCTGGAAGGACAGCAGTGTTTATCACTTCATGAAGCCTGAAATCCAGTATTTGTTTCAGAGTTCATGGCAATGCTTTCCTCACTGCTGTACCACTGATATTCTAATGTGTCTATGGCACACTGTACACCAGATAGGCATGCACAAGCTCACATCTATCACTATGGCAGAAAATTTGATTATAAGAATGTGCACAACACGGAGAGAACAGATTGGCCTCTATTAGCCTGTGCAAATCAAAAGTGATTCTATCAGCTTCTGCCTCAATTCCTCATCCTTAAAAAAAGTTGTCACTGGGTTGCATATAAGTAATCAGTAGCAGTTGCAGTACTAGTAAAACGTTTTTAAAACTCTGCGAAGAGATACTACTTGAATTCAAGATCTCTGTTCAAAAATGTGGCTCGTCTCCTAAGGAAAGTTGCATATTAATGGAGGAGAAAGTGATCAAAGCAACTTACCTATAAGACAACAGGATAAGAACATAACTCAAATCTCATGAATTTGAAAGCAGGCAGTAAAGACATCCCACACTAAAACATCCCTAACTAATCAGAACCCTAGGAATAATTAGGATAACAAGCAAATTAGAGTTAAATGGGTTTTAAAAGCCTTTTCACTAATGTACACTTACAATAATTATACTCAGACAAATGTTGCTTGCTACAGTATGTTGGCATAAATATTTACAGGTCAAGCTCATATCATTCAAGAGTGTGATGCACCTCTTTCTGCAAGTAACCAGTATGGCTGTTGTTCAGATGATCTCAAGTTTATTAAGTCTGGATATACACGAGCTTTTTTCCCACACAACCCCCCCACAACCCCCCTTCGTGTGTTGGTGCACACTGCTCAAAATACCACGTCTCACTTCTCCCACGTCACGTAGGATGTTATTGCATGCAAACCTGGGCTCATGGTTTGTTTTTCTCCATACAAGCCACAAGCAGAAACCAAAAAACAAGTCATAAGCCCAGGTTTGTACATAATGACAAACCAGAATATCCCTAGTCTGGTTCCTCCCCAATGCAGCAGGAACAGGGAAGGAGTGAAGTGCACCAGAAGTGCGCACCAGCATGCTGCTCATTCACACTAAATCACAGGTTGTTTTAAGTATGGTTTAATGTGCCAGATTAAATGGGCCATTATTTATAAAGTCATCTCTTAAACCCATCACCTTGCACAGACGATATCCATGCAGTATAGCTTTCCTCAATATAAAGGTAAAAGGTAAAGGACCCCTGGACGGTTAAGTCCAGTAGAATTTGACTATGGGGTGCGGCGCTCACCTTACTTTTCAGGATGAGGGAGCCGGAGTTTGTCCACAGACAGTTTTCTGGGTCATGTGGCCAGCATGACTAAACTGCTACTGGAGCAGCAGGACACTGTGACAGAAGCCAGAGTGCACAGAAATGCCATTTACCTTCCCACCGCAGCAGTACCTATTTATCGACTCGCATTGGCGTGCTTTCGAACTGCTAGGTTGGCAGGAGCTGGGACACAGCAATGGGTGCTCACCTGTTGCTGCTCCTTGTGCATCCTAGTGAAAGATAATGGGCAGCATCTCGGTCGGGGGGGGGAGCGGGTGTCTCTCAGCACCCACAAACTTTCCACTGTGGGTGCCCAGCCAGGTGACCCAACGTGTCACATGTGTGACATCACATGGTGCAACATAAGCACCAGCTCCACAGGACACATCCACGGCTACAGCGAGCTCCAATAGTCTCTGTGGCAGTGCCAGAGAGCAAGTAGAGGCAAAGCAGTGGGTGGCGGCAGGCAAGTAGCGCATGCATGACGTCATCTCACATTGCGCACACATGATAGCGCGAGTGACGTCAATCTGAAGCCCAAGTCCGTACCTCTGTGAAAGATGATCACTAGGAACTTGACCCTTAAATTTTTTACCTCAGAAACAACGCTGAACAAACAAGAATGTAGTCGACTCCGCTCCCGTTGTTGGAGAAATCTACAAAATTGGCTTTTTTAAAAATCCATCTAAGTGATGTAGCAGATGCCTGTAGGTTTCTATTCGCACCTGTGTCTCCATCCAGGCAATAAGAGGTTATCATCATGGTCCAAAGGCACATTCTACTCATGAAAAGTACTCAAGGAGGACACAGAGCAGGATCAGCAAGTGTTGTGTCCTGTAGAGAGTCACAAGGGCCAGACACAGTGGAGTGGAGGGTCACATCCAGACCCCAGGGTTGAGGTTCCCCACTCCTGTTATATGTAGTGAAATGCAGAATTCACCAGTTATTTATTCACAAATCTACCCTAAGAAATTTACACCATTTGTACCAAAAGGATTGTGGTTACTCATTCATTCATTATCCCTACACATTAAAATCCCCAAACAACAAAATATCTGGTCTTTGTATGCTTTCTCAATATACAGTAGTACTTGCTTAAAACCTCCTTAACTTGGTGGTTTATTGATTTAAGGGAAATCAATAAATTCTTGAAGTATTTTCCCCTAACAGTTTATTTATGCCCATTATTTGTTAATTTTAAAGTATTTTGTCTACAGTATATCTGAATATCTGCAGAAATGAGAACAGCCTGTCCCACAACTACACTTGGATACTTTAAAAGCTGAGAGAGACAGTATCCTAAAATCTCACAGATGGGCAGTATAAATATTTATATGCCAAGTTTCTGGTAAGCAAAATAAGTCAAATGGTTTCACATAGGAAATAAATTCAGGATCGATAGCCTCTTCTTTTTTGCTCATCCTGCTATACTCTAAGAGGAAATAACCAAGTACTCAGATTGATCTAGGAAGCCTGCAATGTCTTAAAAAATACCCTTCCACTGTTCTTCTGACCTGTACAATTACACTTACAATCTGATCTTTGTTACAATTTTGAAGGGGGCTAATCTAATTCATATGATTCCAAATATCAATAGACTGAATATTCGTCTCTCTTACCAACAGAAGGAAACTTCAATAATAGTTCGGAATTATTTCCTTTTAACTGAGACTGACAAAGGGTGGGGTAACTTTCTGCAGATTCCTCTAAGCAGGTTTGCCAGATCCTTTTATTAACATACTGTATTTTTCTGTGTATAACACACCCCCATGTATAACACGACCCCTATTTTTAGGGACTCAAATTTATGAAAATGGGGGAAGATGACCCCCATGTATAAGACAACCCCCATTTTTTAACATTATTTTAGAGTAAAAAAAACACCTAGTCTTATACACAGATAAGTACGGTATTTTCTGAATATTTAATTTCCCAGGGACAGTTATCAGTTTTATTATGGGGGGAAGGGAACCAAGGGCTCTCTAACAAAGTTTATTTGACTGATTCCTTATATAAATTAAAAACAGTTTGTACATCTTTGAGGGCACATTCCATGGGATTAGAATTGGTAGGATTACCAGAGTTTGCCAATTGTTCTTCTGTTCAAATTAACCACTGCTTGTTTTGACACCCTAACGAGGACAAGCCATGGTTCATTATAACTATTGTTTGTTGAAGTAGTTTTACAAAACTATGGTGTTCTTTGCACATCACGCTAAGCCAAACTTTGGCTTAGTGCTAATATGAAGGCCCTAGGAGATGAGCTTGCAGCCATTTTCCTCCTCCCCAGTCCTTTTTTACTGCCGTGCTGCTATCATAATTAGTCTGGAGACAGCTTAACGATGAAGCCCTGGTTTCAGTGTTAGAAAATCTGATATATAAGCTAGGCACCAAATGGCTCCTTAAACCAAGGTTGCAGTTGCCAAACAGAATGTTTAGTTGCCATTTTGGGGCAAGATGGCCCTGAAGTCCTATTTTTCAAATGATGGGCTGACTGAGATTGATTATCAGTTAAACATCTGGCTAGTTCAGATGACAACCTTGAGCTAGGTTAAGAATGTCGAGAACTTAAAGAAGAAAAGTAACTTTACCCAGGGATAGTTCACATATATATATATATCGACCTATTCCTACTTCTTTTTCTTAAGGGTGACAGTTCAGGGAAAGGAGGTGCCTTATGGAGCTGGTCTTTCGGCAAAGCTGATGGAATGAGCCCTGCTTCTCATCTCTCCTACTGAAACTGTGGAATGGCTACAAGTGCCATTTTGTTCAGAGCTGTTACCTGGATCAATATTTAAATAACTGAGTGTTCGATATACTACTTTTCTCCTAGCTGTAGTTGTTAATATACAACGCCAATATACACCATCACAACACTATGAAATTTCTGTCTCGAGGCACCAAAACAAAAAGGATCTCTTGCTTGGGAAACAGCCAGTGCCAGGGTATTCTATATCCGTGCTTCCTAGTCAAAAGAGTGCTTTCAACGGAGCTAAGCAAAATAAGCAAAATAAGCAAAGCAACCCGAGACCCAGCTGTTGACACCCACCAAACATGGACCATGTTTACACATTATGGTGGCCATAATGCAAAAGGGTTTTTTTTATTATTATTCAAAATTCTATAGAACTTTATATCAAGCACTCCAATCAATGTTGAGCTATTTTTCATTAATTATAGCAAGCATAACAAAAAGCAAATCAATACATTAATAGTAGAGTGTTAATATTAATACAGTGGTACCTCGGGTTAAGTACTTAATTCGTTCCCGAGGTCCATACTTAACCTGAAAATGTTCTTAACCTGAAGCACCACTTCAGCTAATGGGGCCTCCTGTTGCTGCCGTGCCGCCGGAGCACAATTTCTGTTCTCATCCTAAAGCAAAGTTATTAACCTGAAGCACTATTTCTGGGTTAGCGGAGTCTGTAACCTGAAGCGTATGTAACCTGAGGTACCACTGTACACTGACATTGGTGCATGAAGTTAAGTTTGATTTACAAATTATTTTTTTACGAAGAGGTAGTTGTGTAGGGTACATAATGGGAAATGATAATGGTCTGGTACCATTCTTTTGAGATCACAGCCTGGAACCTTCTGCAGGCTCTCTCCTCCAGTCCTGAGTGCGAATCTGTCCAACAACACCAACCGAAGTATTTAATAAGCAACCGGCCTTATCCTATCAACAGTAGTCTAGTAAAGATGTATCCAAAGTCATCAGAAAAAAACTTGATAGTCATTGTTCATGAAGCTACAGAGCTAGCAACTTAGTGCGCTCATAATACCTTTCTACATACGCACCCCTACCCCCACACAGAGAGAATGAGAATGAATCAGAGGAGGCTGGAATTTTTCTTCAGTGCCAAAAAAAACCTTGAAAAAAGATGTATTGGGGTTTTTTTGTTTTTGCATTCAGAACAAGCTGCTATAGTCAGAGCAAAGCTTTTCCTTTATGATAAACAGGAACACAATGCCCCAACAGGCATCGTTCATTTCAGCTTGCCAATTCAACAGCTCATTTGCTGATACCGTAGTATTTACATATGCATAGAAGCAGTCATCCCACAGATCTATAATTTCATTCCCAGCAGCAATTCCTAGCTGTCTATTTCAAAAACAAAATTATAATCCTGAAAGTGATTATTGCAGCTATATCAACTTTCCTGCTCATGAGAGGTGCAAGTTTTTCATACAAAAATATACTAATTTAAATACAAAGCCAAAATAGTTAAACCGTCATCCATGTCCATTAGGAACGAGTAGTGGGCATGGGTGTGTTGTATAAATATTCTTTGCCAGTCTTCATGCATCTTATAAAGTAAGAGAACTGCTTCATGAAAATGCATGCCATAATGACATTCTCAGTCTTCATGATGCCACAGGACTTTTGTTTCTTCTTTCATTGGCTAAACTTGGCTTTTATCCTGGAATTATTTTGTAGTTATCCTGTTGCATGCCAGCTGACAGCCTTATTACATTCAAGGTAACCAAAGAAACCAAACCAAAAAATATATTGCTTTAAGCCCCTCTCCTATAAGCTCACTTTGATTAAGACAAGAGCTAGACTTATTGTGTGGCAAGAGAAAGGTGGATTTCATATATCTACCCTGAAGCAATTCCAGGTCTTATTTTAGAATTTTATTCTCAGGTTCAATTTGCATCTCCATTCTCCCTGCTCCACCATACTCATTTAAAAAACAAAAAAACCAACAACTGTGCTTAGAATTTTTTTAAAAAATTTGACATGAACACCTTTAAAGTTGGTTTAAATAGTTAAGGTGTGGCAGCCTTAATTATTTTGCAAATAGAAGTCCACTGTAAATAAGAATTATTAACTGCAATAAAGGGAAGTTCAAGAGGCAAGCACAAACAACACTGAAGCCTCAGTTTGAGCTGAATAAAAAGTACATAATTATATTGGAAAACATTCAGCTCTGGGCTCTCTGCCATACAGGAAGAGTGTTTAATTACCAACACTGGCATAGCAATATCAATAGAAGACTGAATATTCAAAAACTGCATGCAATTTCTTAATGCCCTTGATTCTTTCCCTTCCAAGGAAGAGACAAGGATCCCCATTTATCTTTTTTACTTACTCATGTGCCTCAAGTGCACAATCTGGGACTACTGACTATTATTTTGAAACTGGCATTATAAATGGAGAACAGTTCCACTTCCCAGTGACTCAGTTAAAATACATTTATTCAAGATGATAGTCTTTATACCAAGGACAGGTTTTAACACTAATCTTTAAAAAAACCAAAGCATTCGATAATAGCCAGTATCTACCAGTACTTTCAATTACCTAAACTCTTTTCAAAGCAATTACACTGCTCCTGGTGAACCCAATACGCTCCTCTCAACAGGTTAATAAGAAGCAATTGTTTTACATCTTAGGCTGCAATCCAAACCTGGAAATGAGGCATATTGAATTCAATGGGGCTTGTTTCTGAATAGACATGTGGATTATGCACACCTACGTGGGAAGAGCCCTACTGAGTGAATGGAGTGATTTACTTCCAAGTTAACGTTAATAGGATCAGGCTGAACATGACCAACAGCACGATCCTATGTCTACTCTGAAGTAGACTCTATTGGATTCAATGGGACATGCTCCCAGATAAGTGAAGCTAGGATCATAGCCAAAGTGGGGTACATTTGAGTGTCAAAAATCAATAGTTTGATTGTCAAGGAAAAATATCCAACAAGGATGTAAGATTTAGGAATAAAATACCAATCTAGTCTGCACCTTCAGGTTCCTTACTAATGAGTGGTACTGATGGTGCTCTGATAGCAGCAATAGGCAGTGGTGGTGCTTGCTTTTACTGTGAAATCTGTTCCAAGAGGCAATTAATACAACGCAGGTCAGCAGGTCCCAGATATTCCTAGTTGATGATTTTTTCCATCATTGAAAGACTGCTTTCTTTACCAACCACACCTGTGTCAACCCACTGCTAAATTTCCATCTGTTACACTTCCCCAGTACAGGGAGGTGAAGACCTCGTGTCTTCTAATGTAGGGCTGGCCTTAGGGGGCATGAGAGGGAAAAGCACTGCTACATGCTTGCTGGCTGGTATAAAAGTATGCTCCCATTTCATAAGGGACTGAATGTTGTGGTGTGGCAGGGGGCGCCAGGACTGGCAGGACGAGGAGGGCACCAGCGGCTACTGGGGTTCCTCAGGATTGAAAGAACATAACTCACTACCACCTGAAGCCAATCAAAAGTCAGGTCGGCACCTGGAACCAATGAAGCCAAGAACCAGGCGGTGATTCTCTGCCCCGCAACTAAGGGCTCTGTAAGTAGAGAGGTAGCATGCAGCTGGGGCTGTCACAACTGTCTAGGGTGCACGCTCACAAGATGCCAGAAATGCACAAGAGGGGGAGGCTGCACATGGAAGACTGGTAGAGGCAATGATGATGGAGGGAAGTGAAGAGAGCATTACCTGAACAGTGAGTCATGGCGGGGAGCTGCTGTGATGCCAGACAGCGGGAGGAGGCCAAGGTCAGAAGCATCACTGCCAGCACCTAGGATCCATCAGGTCAGGAAGGTGAGGGGGACCTGCTGATGTCCTAGGCCTGATTATTATTATTATTATTGATATCATTATTATTTATTTAATTCATTGGTTGCTCTTCTCACCAAGGCAATGCAACACAACTTACATCCTGATGCACATGGAAGGCAACCACCCTGCTCCCAGATCTTTCATCTGATCCAACAATTGAGGAGAAGAGGCTGAAGCTATGCTCTACTGCCTCCAGTCATGCTTCTGGCATGTGGCCCTGACCATTCACCCACCAATCCATTCGGTCCTTCAGGGAAAATAGTTGCCCATCTATGTTCTATACAAATAATAAATATTACAGAGCAAGGATTTAGTGAAACCTGGGAAAACCGGACTTGCCATAACTAGACATACAAAGAAATTGTACCAAGGGAAGGGGAAGACACGAAGTCATTCCAATACATTATTGTGGGACACAGGTAAGAAAAGGTAGTGCTGATCACCATTCCTGCATTAAGCAGTGTCATAAAAGGCATGTTCAAATAAGAATAGTTGGTGTAGCATGTAGACCATTCAAAATACTAAGATGATTACTGAACTTTTCACCCTTATCACCACCAGATGTTGTAAAGTTTTACTGCAGATTAGGAATCTTGAGAGTCATATATTTAAGCCACTTCAAAGCTCTTTAGAGGAAGAGTTTGGTATAATAGTAACTAATAAATATCACAATCTTCCATGATGCCTTTTTACAATCAACTGCATGTCAATCATATGGAAGTTTTTTCTACTGCACATTCCTCAAACATTCTTATGGCCATGTCATATTCAACTAGGTCAAAAGCCTTGCAGATAATAAATACATTAACTGCATTCCTGCCTTCCAGAATGCATTAGCATGAAAGAAAACCATGTTGCTCTCTCATGATTACCCCTAATACATAACTACTGATGACTGAAAATCAATTATCAACTAATCCGTAAGCACCTAGGAGGTTCTATTATGTGTGTCACTACCTTCTTAGACAGGGAAGCCTAACTAGCAGATTTGTTTCAGAATGATAAGGAAATAAGGCTTTTTCACTCAAGTTTTCATGTGTAAGAGGAAGATATTCTAAACTTCAGGATCCTTGCATGATTGTCAAGTCCTGCTGACACCACCTCACATTGTGCTCTAGCGTCATCCTGACATGCTTTACCATCCCCATCAATATTTCCAAAAGCCCTGGCAGCTTTCCTCTGTTGTAAAGGCAGGACACAAAGTAGGCACAGAATCCTTCTGACTTCTCCAAATCAATCCTGTCAAACTATTCTAAACATCCTGTGGCTTTCTTTTTGATTTTATAAAGTATTTCTAAATCTCTCCTTGTGGTTTCTAGCACCTCATGGGAATTTCAACATGCTTTGCACTGAAACTCTAGTCTAACGCAAACTCACTCCTTTTGTGAATGGTGTGACTCTCAGCTGTAGGCAGCAGAAGTCTGTAAGGATAATGTAGCCAAGTTCTACATGACATCGTTAAAACTCACTGCAGCTTTGATATAACTAGATAATTTCTGGTATATTAACTGCAGCAATGCTGAACGATATTTACTTTTGGGAGGAGGAGCACATGAAAACACAGAGAGAGAGAGAGCTCTGTCATAGGGTGAGGAAGCTTCTTCAGGCAAATGGCCACATTCCTGGCTCGGCAACCTTTGGGGGGCAGCATACAGCATTGTAGGCAGGGCCAGAGGAATGTACCATATTTTTCGTACTATAGGAGGCACTTTTTCCCCTCCAAAAATTAAGGGGAAATGTGTGTGCGTCCTAAGGAGTGAATGCAGGCTCCTTGGCTTCAGCGATAGCAACGCGAAGCCTCCGAAGTGCAGAGGGGGCGCTCCCTCCGTGCCCCGGAGGCTTTGCGTTGCTTTCGCTGAAGCCTGGAGAGCGAGAGGAATCGGTGCACACCGACCCCTCTTGCTCTCCAGGCTTCAGGGATAGCCGCCTGAAGCCTTCGGAGCACAGCGTGAGTTCCCGCTGCGCTCCGCAGGCTTCAGGTTCCTTTTGCTGAAGCCGGGAGAGCAAGACTCTCCTGGCTTCAGCAGAGAGAGGCATGATCAAGCAAGCAAGAGGCATGATCACACTTCAAGGAAACAGTCCAGGCACACAAAAGCATTCTCAGGGAGAGTGTGGAGCAGGACTGGAAAGGGGTGTGGCTTGGGGAGGGGCAGAGCCTGGACAGAGTCCTGAGGACCTGATGCAAAGGCCTGTAGGGCCACATCCAGCCCCTGTGCCAAAGACTGAGAAACTAGATGGCAACAATACTCTTGTTCCGATAGCAAATCACATCACTTGAACGATGACTTCTGGCTCAAAAAGCTTTAATATCCTTTAAGGAAATGAGGCTCCCATAACCAAATTGTACTGAACAAAGCTTTGCAGATGTACCTAAAAGGTATAAAAGTTTACTTTTCAGTGCAGAAAAGAGACTTTGATTACTTTCTCTTATATGTAAATAAGTCTTCCGGTTCATATGCTGACTTGGTCCTTAGGGATATCTATTACAGGCATAGGCAAACTTGGCCCTCCAGATGTTTTGGGACTACAACTCCCATCATCCCTGACCACTGGTCCTGTTAGCTAGGGATGATGGGAGTTGTAGTCCCAAAACATCTGGAGGGCCGAGTTTGCCTATGCCTGGTCATTATTTTATTTCTATACCACGTTCATATCCTGGTTTTCCTCCAAGGTAGCAATATCATGGGTCTCCTGCTTCATCATATCTGCACAGCAGCCCTGTCAGATAGGCCTTTCAGCCCAACCTATATCCTAGCCCAACAATAACCACTATACTACACTGACTATGTTTGAGCTGGTTCAATGCGGAGTTGTTCATTCTCAGAAAGAGACATTTCATTCAGAAGAATGGAGTGGAACCTTGAGATAGTTCATATTACACCAGCAATACTAGATTTTATTGTCCCTGGACTCCACTATCCTTCCCCCCCACTTTTTCTTTTTTTGACTATGCATTGCCAAGTACCACTCAAGCATCTTATGAAATCATTTGTATAGGAATTTGCATTATGCAAAGTACTTTCCAATTATCTTTCATGACAACACTTCAGTTGGCCTGAGAGTCTCATCCAAGGTCATCAAGCAAACTTAAAAGCTTTATTGGGAGTCTCAACCTGAATCTCCTGTGACAATGCCCAGCACAGTCTGCTGCTACTACTACAGTACAAAATATTTTCCAGTGAAAATTATTACAATGGGACAGGGTGGATAAAAATCAATTATTATTTTTTAAAAATAAAAAATTCAGATTTTTAAAATTTAAATCGGATTTTTTTGAATTTAAATTGGATTTTTAAAATAAAATGCTTTCAAAGGAAAAATCTTTCTAAAGATAGTTTTCTATTTAAGTTACATTATAGTCCAAAGGCTATTCATCAGGAAATAAGGATTTAAGTTTTTAATGTGTGTTTTTTTTAAAAAAACTGTTTAACCACATCAGTTAACAAACATGGATACATATGCTATAATGTTATTGTTTTAGTTAAATAAATTGTTTAAAATTGTTATTAGAGAAATGATTATTTTCCTCCTTCCAATAAAGTACAGCAGAAAAGTTCTCCAAATATAAACAATTAACTTATTAAACCTCACCATCATTTCATAATTATCTGTCTATGTATTTCTAATCAAATCAGTAATTTTTGATATAACTGTAAAAACTACTCTGAAAATTTATTACTCCAAAAAGGAAACCTTTCCTCTAGTTGTAAAAATTAAGATTATACCAGCAAGAACGAGTCTTTATGTAAAAAAATATGATTTAAATCAAGTCTTACTGACTAGTGATTTAAATCAAATAAACCCTGCAATGGGACAAAGCGAAATCTTGCTCAGCCTGAGGAAAAAAAGCAACCATTATATCTCGAAGTGGCAGCAAGACAGCCCAGTGTGCTTAATATTTAATATCTGGGCTTGGGAAACTCAAACCCACCCATATACGAAGATAGATAGATATATATATATATATATATATATATATATATACACACACACACACACACACACACACAGAGAGAGAGAGATTTCTTTTAAAAACAAAACAAAACAATACCTGTTCTTTTACAGAAGCTAGAATAGTGGTGGCAGTAGCCTCTGTCTCCATGCCCGGACTTGTAGAAGGTTCCTGGGTGGTCTGTTGCAGTCCTTCTTCCAAAGAAGTCTGCTCAGGAGCTGGCATATTGTCTGGGGGGGGGAAATCAGTTTGACATTTGATGGTTATCTGTTCAATTCACTCATTGCCACTTCTACACTAAAGCATGACATATACAGTGGTACCTTGGGTTAAGAACTTAATTCGTTCTGGAGGTCCGTTCTTAACATGAAACTGTTCTTAACCTGAAGCACTACTTTAGCTAATGGGGCCTCCTGCTGCCGTTGCGCCGCTGCTGCATGATTTCTGTTCTCATCCTGAAGCAAAGTTCTTAACCCGAGGTACTATTTCTGGGTTAGCGGAGTCTGTAACCTGAAGCATATGTAACCTGAAGCGTATGTAACCTGAGGTACCACTGTACCTAAAATTTCTGGGAGATACTTCTCCCCTAAAGTAGTATCAAAGAACTAGGGAGAGCGGCTTACAGGGAAGATGTGGTCTTGAAAACAATGTTCTACCCTTAAGCATGCCTCTTCTTTAAAGACAAACAGGAAAGTTACATACATAACAAAACATTTTAGAAAATGCAGCTTTTTTTGACTGTAACTCAATTGGCCAAATAATCAATAACATGGTGATAATCGGTAAAATGATTTCCCCATTAAAATCTGTATCTCAGCTATGTCAGATCTTTCTCTGCCCTCTAATTTTAGAGTGGCTGATAGTACTTACCTGAGACTACGAATCCGTTCTGCTAACCCGCTGCATCTATATCAACTACTTGTGACATTTTTTAATTACACCAGGAGTATCTGTTTTGTATGGACATATCCAGGCAGTCTTTGTACATGTTGACTGCCAGCTGGTAATGTGTTTGGGGATTATCATGTGTAAAAATCATAGAGCAGGGGGAACCACACAAAAAAGGGAAGTAGGCAGGAGATGAGGGATGGCTGTAAGAAGATTCCTTCTTGCTTTACTTTTCGAAAAAGTTTTTTTTTACAAGTTTTTTTTTTATATATATATAATGAAACTCAGATAGAAATAGAATCTGATATTTTCATTGTGCCATTCTACCTGCCTGACATTAACCCGGAAGTATCTGCAAGGGTGGCTGAGCTGTTATCAATAGTATCTCTTAAGAATGGCACTATTTCGCAGGAAGAAATTCCAATGAAAATCCTCGTTATTACATATTCTTAAAAGGTTGTTTATTTGTATATTTTTAAATTTTTATATATGGATGTTTTATGATGGTCTATATTTGTAATGCCTGATAAAGGTTTGGCGAAGAAAGGAAGCAGAAAGGGGCAATGTATGCCTTCCTTCCAAATAAGAACCACTTTTCACATTTTGCACATTTGATCACCATGTGATTACTAGCAGATATGTTTTGCAACACATTAGTCTTGTAAAGATAGTGTTAGAAACTGCAATAGGAATGCTAGGAGCCATGTGGCTCCTGGGACCTAGGTTGTGGGCGCCAAAACAAAATGTCAAGGCACTTTTTAGTTTTTTTGCTGCTGCCCCGCTACCAGACCAGCAGCAATACACACACACATTCTTTTTGCTACTGGGTGAATCAAGCAGTCTGCAGAGTAGCCCGACTGCAGCAAGGCAGGTGGAGACACTGGGTGCCAAGGGTGGCACCTCACCTGGACATCTCCATCCAGTCGCAAAAGGCCGGCTGCCAGGTCGCAAAATGTGACCAGCGACCGACAAATTTCAAACACTGTTCACAAATGCAACTACAGTGGTACCTCGGGTTAAGTACCGTATTTTTCACTCTATAGGACGCACTTTTTCCCCTTCAAAAATGAAGGGGAAATGTGTGTGCGTCCTATGGAGCGAAGATGCCATAGCCCCGCGACCCTCTCCCGGCTGGAGAGGTGATGCGCGGCTATGGCAGGAACCTCTACAGCCCTGTGTCACCTCTCCAGCCGGGAGAGTGCACGCGCGGGGCTAAAGAAGCACCCCGCGACCCTCTCCCGGCTGGGGAGGTGACGCGCGGCTATGGCAGGAGCCTCTCCATTGCGCCTTTCCGCTGCTCCCTGACCTGCTCTTTGGGGCTGGTGGTGGGCTTCCCCCCGCCAGCCCCAAAGAGCAGGTCGAAAGGAACCTGAAGCCTGGAGAGCGAGAGGGGTCAGTGCACACCGACCCCTCTCGCTCTCCAGGCTTCCAAGGTAGCCGCCTGAACGCACCTTAAACAGCACCTTGTTTTAGAGTGGGAAAACAAGAGGGGGAAAGTTCTCCCCCTCTCTGCGCAGCGCCTCCTGCTGCTTCACTGAAGGGGCGCTGGGCAGAGAGGGGGAAAAAATTTTTCTTGTTCACCCCCCTCTAAAACAAAGTGCGTCCTATTGTCCGGTGCGTCCTATGGTGCGAAAAATACGGTACTTAATTAGTTCCGGAGGTCCGTACTTAACCTGAAACTGTTCTTAACCTGATGCACCACTTTAGCTAATGGGGCCTCCTGCTGCTGCCGTGCTGCTGGACCACGATTTCTGTTCTCATCCTGAAGCAAAGTTCTTAACCTGAAGCACTATTTCTGGGTTAGCAGAGTCTGTAACCTGAAGCGTATATAACCTGAGGTACCACTGTAATCCATACATCTAAACCACATGCACCTCTTTTACATGTCTATAGTACAAAAAGAAATCACAACACACTATTTACAAAAAATAAAACACCCCAAAAACCCCTTCAGTGCTCATAAGAGTTTATTTCCACAGACTACCAGGCGAGTGGTGACTTGTAAGCCTGTAAGAACATCTGGATTACTTCTAAATACCATCTTTTATCATATGCCCCAAGCTATGTATTTTCCAAGCTCCCAATCTTCATCTGTTTAGTATACCTTTTTATGGAAGGCATTCAACAAGTCAATTAACCTTTGCTACCTTTCTTCATACTTTCCCCAGTAAGGTCACGCAGCTTGCGCAAAGTAGTGACACGACCAGCATAAGGCACACAATGTATGTTTGAATCATTTCTGCTATATAAACCTATTAGTTTAAATGTAGTTCTTAATGATCCGTAAATTTTGTTTGCCTTTTGATGAGTATAAAGCACTGAACGAATATTTTCAGGAACCAAAGTATTCTAAGAATGCCTTGAATAGCAGCAGCTAACTTTAAGAACCAAATGCAGGAAGGGCTAACTTAATTCTGCACTTCTCAACAATAAATGTTACTTGCCATTTTAAGGACTACATGTGTGAATCTTTTGATGCTAAGCTTGTCAGAAGCTTTGGCGCTTTGCTGTTCAGACCCTTTGCAGAAAACTGATTCAGTACTTTTGAAATCATCATTCCCTGTTTGGGACACAACACAGATTTTCCACACTTGGAATACCAAAATTAAAACCACAGGACTAGCCAAAAACATGCATCTCCATGAAAAAGTGTTCCCTTCCATAACCGGAATAACTTTATGCATCCTTGAGCTGACACCTCCCAGCCATTCTGAAAATCCGGAGATCCAACAGATGCGCTAATCCCAGAGTGGTTTTAACACATTATTTTTATGTCTAAATGAAACCAGTGAGAGGAGATAGTGCTATATTTTATTTAAGTGGTTAGCCACAAAAAAACATGCTAAGTGCCCTCTACTCTACTACTTTGAATGCAGTGTGCTGCTTTTCCCCTACTTTAATTTTGCTGAGCCAGAGGAGCTGTTGAAAATTATGTTCAACTTCAAGCAAGGCAGAAAATGGGACTGCCCTCTAGAAGCCCAAATCTGGGGAAAGGATGCCATTTTCTGCCTCTTCAAGCGGGTGGACCTATACAATACCCACCTGGTGGTGCGAAGCTCCCAAACCCAAGTCAGAAGACCACTTCCTTTGTCTATGGATTAATTATTTGAGAGCACTAACCAGATTTAACAATAAGGAACAGCATCTCAACAGCTCTTTGGGCTGCACAGCAGTATCTGGGAAAGCTACTGCTTCTAGTAGTCTCCTCTAGTCTAGTACTTCCACAGGCACAGTACTAATGAGAGGAAGCTAGCTATGTCCCTGAAAAAATAAACCTGGAAAGAAGAACCTTTGCTGAGTCCTTCTTTCCAAACAAGGTGGTGGTGTTATTGTTGTCCCAACCACAGCAAGTAGTAACTTGATTTGATGTCGATCAAGACTTTCAAGCAAGACACGAACAACCTTCTTCTTCGTCACAAGCATCTTGGTAACAATCTTTCACCAGACAGCTACAACAAGCTGAGACACAACAAGATGACCATGATATCATCCCAGTCGTTATAGATTCTTTAGAAAGCATTGCTTTGGACTCACATTTTCAGATACCCATTTGAAAACTGTCTTAATTCGGCTTACTGCTTAATTTGAAATGCTATCCTTTGTCTATGCACTTTAAGTCATTAAAAAATGGATATTCAGTGAGGAAAGGGCCTCATAATGCCTTATACAGAAGTAGGGTACGGGAGACTAATCCCCCTACGCAGAATAACTGCAATTGATTTCTACTTTCATAGGCCACATGAGCGCTAAATGTTGCAGCAGAATACAAATCTGTGACTCAATAGGCTTGACTAAGGGAAGCATGTGCTCTACTTTTCAGTTTTTAATTTTTGTGTTCATCCATTCATATCCTCAATGAGGAAATGCATATAGTTTATCTGGACTGCATTTCAGTCCTGTCTTCTGCTGTTGGAGAACCTACTCCACATGCAAACCTTCCTCTGAATTTGGAAGGGATCTATTTCTGTCATGTGGATCAGATGGCAGGTGTTTAAAGAGATTCCATTGATGTCATAAATGTGATTGCTTTTTCAAATTTCCCCCCCTCTAAGATATTTATCTCAAAATCTTACTTTGTCTTGCTGCTTCTGTGATTTTAAAGTGTTCTCACTTGCACTTTAAGCATGGCCAGTGAGCCAAGTGGTTGCGTGGAGGAGTTCTGGGAAGCAGTTCAATGAGGCTTACTCCCTAATAAGTGTGAATAAGACTGCAGCGTAAAGCTAGCAGCTGGAAAATGTGCTAGATGTTGTGAGCTGTGTTTTGTTTAAAGCATCAGTCAGCAAAGCATGAGACTGTTAACCTCAGGGTTGTGGGTTCAAGTCCCGCGAAGGGCAAAAGCATGTGTAGGCAAACTAAGGCCTGGGGGCTGGATCCAGCCCAATCGCCTCCTAAATCCGGCCCACGGACGGTCCAGGAATCAGCGTGTTTTTACATTAGTAGAACGTGTCCTTTTATTTAAAATGCATCTCTGGGTTATTTGTGGGGCATAGGAATTCGTTCATTTTTTTTCTCTTCAAAAAATAGTCCGGCCGCTCACAAGTTTGCTGACCCCTGGGCAAAAGGCTCCTGCATCACTGGGGGTTGGACCAAATGACCCCTGTGGTCCCTTCCAACTCTACATTTCTGTCATTCTGTTATAAATTCAATAAATAATAATAATATTCTATCAGAGCTTAAAACAGAAGATCACAGTTTTAAACAGAACCATTTTTATTTTAAACAGCAACATACATGAAGTGCATTAGGGTAATTATACTCCCTTGTACAAAATATAACAAAGTGGCTGAATTACTATTACTATTACTATTACTATTACTATTACGTAAGTTTCTCTCTATTGGCAAGCTCTAGAGAGCATGTCTTCAAGTTAAGATGTAGGCCAAAATGTACAGCCTACATGAAATGTCTTTCCGTCCCTGTAGCATTACTAATTTTTTACAAGTGCCCCAATGGACTAATCGAAAAGGTGACTTTCAGCTTATCACATTCACATTCTGCAATGCATGAATAGTTAGAGAAGAAAAAAAAGAGCACTTTCTGGCAAGGGGTGATGTAAGGCCCTGCATGCCCTAAGGCTTACTGAGGCTTGTTTTAGTAAGAAAATTTCACCTTCATTTGTTCCATATAACATTGGTAGTTGAGTTGACATGTGATAATTATAGCCTGCTTGTTCTGATTATTGTACTTTCTCTAATTCATTGCTGAAGTGATTTATAGTGCCAGTAAATTATGAAAAAAATAAATGTATCTATTGCAATGTTGTTTTAAAAAACAAAAATAGTGCATCGCTACACACCATAAATTACCGTACACAAGTGCAAAAGCTCTGGATCAGGATGTTCGTGATTCATATTAAAAATGACAAAAAAAAATTTTTTTTAAGGAAGTGATTTTAGATAACAAGCTCTGCCCAAATACTAAACTGAAGGAAAAGCCTTTTGCAGCTGGAATGCACATAGAATATTTTTGACTCATGCTCAGGTGGATGCGATTTACCGCTTACTACTGCATGCTCTAAATAGAAGCTAAGTAACAGATAAAATTATGCAGTGACAAACATCCATTCATCTGTGGCTCTAAGTAAATGTCGCTGTTCCACTGTATAATACAGCCTGATGGCTTATGGATTTTGGTCTGAAGAGTAAACGAGTGGCAAGAAAGCACATGACAGGGTAGGAGAACAAGTACGCAAGAAGGGATTAAAACACACTTTTAAAAGAGCATACCTTAAGCAATTATTAGCATACTGAGTGACTACATTAACTAAAGCTGAGAAAGAACATCTCTGCTCCTCCTAAGGCACACACATCTGTAGCAGGAACCACATGAACATGCTAGGAAAAAGACACATAGCAACTTAAATCCGGCTCCTGTGGCACTTTCCTGGGATAAAATCCTAAAAAAGCTCAATCCTAAAAAAAGGTTAAAAACTTTGGTCAGCCCTCACGGCCCTTCACTTCATCAAATCTGACCCTCTTTGAAAAATGTTTGGACACCACTGTCCTAGATCATGGGTAGGCAAACTAAGGCCCAGGGGCTGGATCCGGCCCAAAGGGCTTCTAAATTCAGCCCGCGGACGGTCTGGGAGTCAGCGTGTTTTTACATGAGTAGAATGTGTCCTTTTATTTAAAACGCATCACTGGTTATTTGTGGGGCATAGGAATTCGTTCATTCCCCCCCAAAAAATATAGTCCGACCCCCCATAAGGTCTGAGGTACAGTGGACTGGCCCCCTGCTGAAAAAGTCCGCTGACCCCTCTCCTAGATGAACGACTGAAAAAAAGAATAGGTGCTGATGACCCATTTTACATGAGCGATGAAAGTAATGATGTTACGATGAAGAATATCAGGATTGTGCTTTGTAGGATCAAATACTGTGCTATAAGGTACAATATTTCTTTTTATGAAGTCATATTTCCAATAGTAATAATAATACCCTACCCACTCTGGGTGGCTTCCAACAAATATAAAAGCATAATAAAACATCAAACATCTAAAACATCCCTATACAGGGCTGCCTTCAGATGTCTTCTAAAAGTTGTATAGCTATTTATCTTCTTGACATGTGATGGAAGGCACTCCACAGGCTGGGCGCCACTACCGAGAAGGCCCTCTGTCTTTCTTGAATTGCTTTATCTCATATAGAAGCCTAACTGAGCATCCCTGTCCTGATAATCCAAAATCCACATGCTTTCTCACCACATATATACAGCTTCAATTGATTACCGAACTCTTCAGCTTCCCTTTCAAACCCTGTCACTTCTGTCCAATGCTGCCTCTTCCTACGCCACCACCTCCATCTTGAAATTAGGCCAACTTGGTTTTCACTGTGATGTACACTCTGAGAAACTTGGGGAAATAACATGAAAATTTATTCATGCCTTCCTTTGCCCCCAAGCTTCCAGCAATGGGTACTTAAGGTTTGAGAAAGGAAGGGAGGGAAGAGAAAAAGGAAAGAAAGCTGGAGAGCAAGTTCTATGGTAATATTCCCATTAGAAGTCAGAAAGAGGAGAGAGTCTTGAAGATAGTATGATGAAACTATTTCTGTACTTTCATGTAATAAGAGAATGTAGGTTGGGCATTTCTACTGCCTTAGTCACAATAAGACTAGACTATACAGCTGCTTTCATATGATCAGCGATTTCCTGTCTTCTTGTGTAGGTGGTAGCAATTTTATCAGTGTAGGCACAAAAGACTGTTCATAAATTATAGAAGTTACTATCTCCCTTCCTTTCACGTCTTTCCCTCTGAGCTCTAATGTACTTTTTTTTAAAGCTACAGCTTTCCCCACCCCTTTATAATATTAAAGTATTGTTTAAAATATTAGCTCTCTTGTTCTCATAAAAAGAACTGTATTTCCTGGAACATATGTTCCACTTGCTTTATGTGAATTGCAAATAAGTTTAGGGAAGGCAAGTTCAGGGAGAGGAAAATGTACTTCCTCCAGGAAATGTACAGAACACAGTGAGTGTGTGTTTTTGTGTGTAAAACTATCCTTTTCCACTTAGCTTTTTAGCTAGGCACTGGCAGGCACTACTAACACCCTCTTCAAAAAGTCTAGCGCAACGGCAAAAGAGAGTGGTCGCCCCACAACACTTTTCTAGGTGTAAGGCCTGCACAGTGGTAGCACAAATCACCCCCTTCCCCAAAGTTCTCTGCACATGCTATAGGACTTGGTAGAAGGGTCAGCCACAAACAAAAGCTGGCTAGCAAACCAATTAAAAATCTGCAGACTTTATGCACATGCATTTTTCAATTGCTCTATAGCCTATGACTCTAGCTTGCCTCAATAGGATTATATGATACCACCATGACCCAGTTTTTAATTATGCTATGTCAAACACAGTTTTGTTTGAGAATTTGAATTTGACTGCAGCCTATATGGTTATAAGCTTCTGATGGGAAAGCTATTAATTATGTTGTGTGTCCCGAGTTCCCGTGTTGAGGAGGTGGGAAGAAAACCTGTTCTGGAAGAGGCCGTACTCCCCTGGAAACAGCAGGTCATCAGCCTGGATTCAATACTGTCAATAGAGGCACAGGTGGCTACAAGTACCTTTTCACAGTTCTGGCTGGTTCATCATTGAAGGCCCCCTTTGGACAGAACCAATGCACTCCATGCTGATCCAGATTGTATTATTGTATGTGCTTTATGTGGAGCTGCCCTTGAAGAGGACTCAGAAATTTCAACTGGTCTAAAATGCAGCGACCAAATTACTGGCTGGAGATCCATTTAGACCTTATACAACCCTTGTGTTAGAACAGCTGCAGTGCTTGCCGGTTTGTTTCTGGGCCCAATTCAAGGTGCTCGTGTTAGTGTTCAACACCCTAAACAACTTAAGCCCCAAATACAGTGGTGCCCCGCAAGACGAATGCCTCACAAGACGAAAAACTCGCTAGACGAAAGGGTTTTGCGTTTTTTGAGTCGTTCCGCAAGACGAATTTCCCTATGGGCTTGCTTCGCAAGACGAAACGTCTTGCGAGTTCTTGCGAGTTTGTTTCCTTTTTCTTAAAGCCGCTAAGCCGTTAATAGCCGCTAAGCCACTAAGCCGTTAATAGCCGCTAAGCCGCTAATAGCCGCTAATAGCCGTGCTTCGCAAGACGAAAAAACCGCAAGACGAAGAGACTCGCGGAACGGATTAATTTCGTCTTGCGAGGCACCACTGTACCCAAAAGACTGCCTCCTTCCCTACAGATCTTCAACATGGGTACCAAGATCAGCAGAGGGAGACCTCTTGGGTGTTCCACTCCATTCAGAGTTTTCAGTGGGGACACCCTCCCCACAGAGGTGTATCTGGCGGCTTCACTATGCAGTTTTCAGCAAAAGTAAACTAGCAGGTAATGAATTGAATTAATAATAATACTTTCTCCATTGAGTGAATGGCTTATGAGAACTTGGGGCATGTGACCAGACTCACAAACATAATAAAGAGTCAGAGAAGGAAGACAGGTAGACAATTGTGAAAAATGGAGCACTTAAAAAAAAATACTGAAATAATGTACATGACACACTACCTTATTGTTGGGAGTAATAAGGAGAAAATATTTTACCATTTTTGTCATGATCTGTTGTAGTCTTATCACTACTACCTGCCTGAGCAAAATAATATGCAATATATAAAACAAATTCTGGTGATAATTACATAAAGATTTGTTTTTCTCTCTTTACTGTTACGATTAGAATTATTACAATAAGAACAATCAGACAAGTAAGGTGTCTGCACTTTTATATTAATGAAAAAAACACAAAACCTTGCATGAGATCTTAAAACTGCAGACTAGAGTTGAAATCTAATACTGTTATTTATTATAATACCCGAGTGGTGTTATTTATCATACTTTCCAAGTGTTAGTAGGTACTCAAGAATAACTCAAAATAACTTCTATCTTAAACTACTGAAGCAAAACATGCAAGATGTTTGGATTTAATTTAGTATCAGATTCATTTTTACAGCCAAGGAAAATTAAGTTGTCCATTAGAATTCTTTTGTACAACACGAGATACTCACAACCTAATGTTTGCTTTTGGGTGGGGGAGGGGGGTTGCAAGGTTTGATATATTGTGCTTCATTGCAAATTGATTATGATCTGTTTTAGAAATAGGACATCCTTATTCCTCTGAAGATTTAGCCCCTTATAGCTCACTTGCTGTGTAAGTTAACAAACATTAGCATCAAATCTAAGAGGGAAGGAATACGTGTCCTTAAATACCATCCTTTCCTTTCTTCCTGAAATCACTCTGATGAAGTGGGGGCTGCAGCCCACTTCAACAGGTTCATTCCCACCACACAAGATTTAGGAATAAATATGGTTTAACAATGCAACTTTTCTTTCCATGATAGTTTGGCACAGAACTAAATAATAAATAGTCCTTTTTAATCTTATTTTTTCCGATTAACACACTTACTATGCATAGTATAAAGATGCTTTGAAAATTTTTACTCAGTGAACCCTTGTAAGAATGGGGGACACAACCAGATTTTTGTTTAATAGCGGTTGGCAGTAGTCAGTTTTGTCTACTGCAGGCATGGCCAAACTCGGCCCTCCAGATGTTTTGGGACTACAACTCCCATCATCCCTAGCTAACAGGACCAGTGGTCAGGGATGATGGGAATTGTAGTCCCAAAAACAGCTGGGGGGCCAAGTTTGGCCATGCCTGGTCTACTGAGTTTGGGAAACACTAGAACTTCAACCTATACAGAAGTTAGTAATTAGTCTTCCATTATATTCTTAGGTGAGCTTGTCTATGCTTACAGAACTAGCATTGATTTGCAGAAACCGAGGACACACTTACTGTGGTTAAAAATGACTACCTATATAGACTAGCTTTCTACAAAAGAAGAGAACAAAACTTGTTTAAAAAGAGGGTCTCCGTGTATGGCAAGGGTCATCAACCATTTTGGACCAGTAGGCACATTTTTAATTTTGAGAGTGTTGTGTGCACCAGTCACAACATGGCTGCCATAAGAGGCATGACATAACACAAAATTAGAGAAGGGTTCTGTCATGGTGAAGCTTTCCCCATAACTGCATTTCCATAACAGAAAAAGCTTCTGCAATTCTGTTGAATTTTTGCCAGCCATACAGCCAGCAACCCTTTTATTCCCAATACAACTCTATGGTGACATCTTGTACTCACTAACAACAACAATAATAATGGTAATAGTAGTAGTAGTAGTAGTAGTAATAATAATAATAATAATTTTATTATTTATACCCCGCCCATCTGGCTGGGTTTCCCCAGCCACTTGGGAGTAAGCCCCATTAAACACAGGGACTTACTTCTGAGTAGACAAATATACTATTGTACTGCAAGTTAACTAGACACTGAATTCCTAATGACTGCCTGATCTTTAGCTCCTGAACATCAGGAGACATGCCTCTTTGCAAAGTTTTGATATTTGCCCTTTGTGGGGAATTCTTTAACATCTGCCCACAATTATTTTCTGTGAATTCTACTAACTGCCTGATCTCAGACGAGCCTACCACAGAAGAAAAGTGCTAAGGAAAAGGAAGGACAAAGTACAGAAATTCCAAAGATTTGCAAATATGATTCAGGTAGGAAAAGGAGGATAAAATAGCAGATATCAGAACCCTGAGGATTCCTCTCACCTGGTGTCCAAAAAACTCCCTCCACTCATCAATCACAGCTCTGGCTTCATTCACTGACTAAAAACACTGGTAGAAGGCTCCAAAAGAAATTGCTTAGAAGGGTACCTGCACATTTTGTTATGTACCCTTCCTTCTAGGAGGGTGAGAGGCTTAAAATAAGGTACCAGTGAAGGCCTTTGTGGGCCACAGGTTGGCAACTCCTGATTTATGGAACTGAAGCACACATTATTCAAGATTTGCAATTTATTTATTGAAGTTAATCAGTGTTGGTAAATAATATGGAAAAGTACATTTTAGAAGCTATCATGTAAAAATACTGAAAAGGCAATCCATTTTAATACGCTCTTTTAGCCACACCTTCAATGGTAGTATAGTTTTGTTACAGCTCAGTGTGGAAATTCTGCTAATAAAATCCAGTCATCCAGTCTGGCACGTTTCATATCATGGTAACAATGCAAAAGATAATTTACACAACACACTAAATCACAGGGGTGGAATGCTCTGATTTGAAATAGCTATTCAAACTCTTAACACAATAAAATTAAAGGCTCAAATACAGGACATAATCTAGACTGATAAATGACTATTGGCTTATATTGGCAACTCATACTCCCTGAACTGGCAAATAGATGGGCTCTATTGGATCTGTAACATCTATATTGCTGGCAACTAGGTAGCCAAAATGGAGCATTTCACAAGTTTTTTTTAATCACCTTTGAAATGTTTCATTCTATCTGTGGCACTCTTACCCTCACAGATATTGGTATCCTCTCTCCACAATCAGCTAAAACTTGCCTTTTTAATTGCAATACAAGACTGCCATTTAGTACAAGTCTAGCTAATACCTGGTGCTAGAAAAATAGATGTGATATCTCAGGGTACTTTTGTGATACAGATAAATACTGAGTACTTACAGTTTTAACCGAATCTATATTTTTGTTGTTGGGCGGCTTTCCACATAAGAAAAAAGGTAACTAAGCAACCAGTCTCTCTCTAAATACAGCAGCAGAACTGCAAAATCCGTTACTAAGCATCACATCTATACAGGTTAAGTACAAACAAAATCTCCGTATGAAACAGAGCCCACATAAGAATTCTAATCCAAAGAATCTTAATTATCTAAAAAGATGAACATATGTAATAAAGAAAACAAAAAGTCTAACGAAAGCAGTTATAGGGAACATGACTGCTAGGAAGACTTATTGTAGAGAGCTTATACTTAGTTCCTATCTTCAATAATGCTCTGAAGTGGCATTATTAGTTTTATAAGATACATTTACAGACAGAACCTACTTGGGCTGCAATTCCATGAACACTACATAGCAAGTCCCATTCAACTTGGTGAGACTGACTGCTGAGCAAGCACACACAAGATTGCACTATTAGATTCAATGGAACTTAAAACGCTCTGTCTTTTTCTGAAAACGTGTAAGAGGACTCATACCAATCAACCATAGAAGTGTGTCCTTTCCAACATAAGCACCTACCTCCAATGCTCTCTTAATGGGTTTTCTTACTTGCACTGAGAATTGTAATACAACTTCGATATATTTACCTAGAAATGTAACGGGATTTACAAGCCACTAGGCTTAGAATGAGAGACTTAAACTTTAAGTCAAAGTGAGTCTTCTAACATAGAGCACTCAAAGTTTGAGAGCCAGGACTATACTAGCGCAAGTGTGGTGTACGGTTACTCTCTCTCATTCCTAGGAATCTCAGCTTTCATCAAACCTGTTCTGAGTGCTCTTCTAGGCCTTGTTGATTCTGAAGAAGTGTTCAAAATTAGCCAGGCACTGGGCACATTTTGCACCTGGCTATTGGCCACTTGCGACCATGTAAAGATGCCAGGGTGCCAGGATGGCGTCTGATATCTTCACCAACTGGAGGTACATGCCTGAGGATCATTGGATCTGGACTGTTTTCACACACTGATACCACATCCTGTAGAATTATATCAGTTATGTTTTATCTGCACAATCAGAATGAATTTCAGGAACCATTTTTTTTTTTTTTGGTGCAGCCTGAGCAGGAGCAGTGAACAACATTACAGTCAACTGTTGTAGCTTGTCTTCACTTACCCTACCGCACTGCCCTGCTCACAGTTGTGAATATTCTTAGGTTATGAATGGTCCGCTCACCATTAAGAAAAAGAAGCAGGAATAGGCCACTGTATTTGTGGACTTTCCCTGGATCAAGAGACTTTTCTTCTTTAAGTTCCCAACATTCTTAACCTAGCTCAAGGTTGTCATCTGAACTAGCCAGAGGTTTAACCGATAATCAATCACAGTCATTCCATCATTCAAAAAATAAGACTTTAGACCCATCTTGCCCCAAAATGGCAATTACGCATTCCGTTTTGTCAACTGCAACCTTGGTTTAAGGAGCCATTTGGCCCCTAGCTTATATATCTGACTTTCTAACACCATTCTGAAGTCATATTTAGAAAGTCTGCAATATGCTGTCTGCAAAAGACCCAAAGCATACATGTAGTCTAGAAAGTGTTTCCTAGCACTTTAAGTCTTTCATATTATCAGTATTATCCTGAGGTTGTCAACTTGCACAGCCATCAAAGTTATATGCATATTAAAAACTGAGGAAAAGCTAGGAGCCAATGCCAATCAGGCCACTTCTTGGTTATAGCATTTAGAGCATTTTCTTATGTGAGGCTCAGTTTGGGAAGGCAGTTGAGCTAGGAACTGGCAGCAAAGATTCAGTGTTTATGTCAAGCACAACGTTTAAATGTTAGTTAATGCATGAGCATAGAGGTGGAGGCAGAAGGTCAACTGCTTCAGTCACAGCTTCTTTCACTTGACATCTGGACAAATACTACCAGCCTCTCAAAGAACTGCTGCCTTTTTTGAACAAAGAAAGCAGCAATTGATTAATTATTGCAGAGAACATATGTGAAAATGCAAAGTGTTCTAGACTATTAGGAATAAGTACTGTAGCACTGTCATTCTTTTGGAGAGTTCAATAAACAAGAAAATCCGCAGTGACCTCAAACAGATGTCTTTTGAGAAATACAGCTTGTGCAGATGTAACACGTGAGTTTTACCTACAGTTAAGACATTGTAAGCAAGTTTCTCTCCTACATGGCACAAGTCTTCTGCAGGTTCTAAGTTCTAACTAATTTCTAGGTTGATATTAACACCAATGTCAACAAAAGCTAAGCATGGCAACAGTGGTTAACACTACTTTGGATTTTATCTTAACCATGGCTAAAAACCAGGGTTGGGTTAAGAGGGAACCCAAGTTAGTGTTAACTACTTGTGTCATGCTTAACCATGGTTAAAATGGCATAGGAAATTCACATCAGAAAGGAGATTGGCAATTGTGGAAGTATATGGTCTTGTGCCCTATGCCCAGTAATTTAACCATGGTTAAGAGATTAGAGATGCTAGTCTGGCAAAGCCCCATGGTGAATTTCTTGACTGACCCAGAGTATGCCATTGGCAACACTTATGGCTGGCAAATTTTATTTCTCCTTCCCTTCTACTATTGAACTGTTCTGTCAACCAGACCAGAGTGTCCTGCCCAACAAAGACGGTGTGATCCTAGGATGTTACCACTGATGCAGAACCATTTTTCACTTAAGTAAAATTTGGCTGAATTAGATAAAAATAGATTCTTCAACTTGTAGTCAGCTTAACCAAATTTGGCTACAGGCAGAATTCTGTATTTTGATCTGCAAACAACTTCTTACTAAATCAATGAACCTAGGAAAATGTATTTGCTCCAAGAACAACAAACAAAACTCTAACCTGAAAAAAACCCAAAGCTTTTCCTAAAACTGGATTGACAAAATACAGTGGTACCTCAGGTTAAGTACTTAATTAGTTCCGGAGGTCTGTTCTTAACCTGAAACTGTTCTTAACCTGAAGCACCACTTTAGCTAATGGGGCCTCCTGCTGCTGCCGTGAAACTGGAGCACGATTTCTGTTCTCATCCTGAAGCAAAGTTCTTAACCCGAGGTACTATTTCTGGGTTAGCGGAGTCTGTAACCTGAAGCCTATGTAACCCGAGGTACCACTGTACATTCTTCTTTAATTTCAGAAAAGTCATTCCACAGAGATGCTCATAAAAGTTCATTACACATTCATAACCTGTACCAAGAAAGCAAGGCTGAAGTCACACTCTTATTTACTTGAAACCTAATTATAATCAATTGGATTGTTATGGCTAAATTTCGTAATCAGTGATGGGACCGAATGGCAATTTTACTTTGTAACTGTGGGAGTTTCTGGTTCTGATCAAAGCAGCAGCACTAAGGAGATTTCTAAACCCTTCTGCTCATAGGGTTTCTCCTACCCTGAAACTGCTAACACTGTGCAGGGGAAAACAGAGCAAGGTTAAATACTCATCCCTCAGTACCATTGCTCTCATCACCAAAATCAGATCCATGCACCCCAGCCTGCTGTAAAAAAGGAAATTACAATGTCCAGTGATCTAGATCTCTTGGTTCTTGTGTAGTTTGGGCCACATATAGTATTCAAAGTTGTAAAAGCTTTTCTGAGGAAATCACTTAAATTTTAGAGGGAAAGTTACTTGATATTTTTAGAAGATACTATGCAGCTAATCCATACAAGTATTATTTCATTACTGTATGTGCGCGTGCATGCGCATAGACATTTACTTTAAGCTTTGGATTAACCCCTACACAACCCCTATGTATTCAGAGGAGAGGAGAACAAAAGAAGTTCTACTGATGGCTACAAAACATTCCTAGCAGCAGAATGCAAATTCTAATTTTCAGCTGGGACTGGAAGGAAGATCATTTCAGTGGCAATGGGACCAGTTGCTGAAAAGGGGGTACTGAACTTGGCATTGACACTTACTCTGAGCCACTTCCCTCTTATTTCAATGAAGCTTGTGTGTTAGATTTACCAAAAAAGTTTTCCAACAAACTTTCTCATATTGAAACTATATGTAAACACAATTTCAGTCTACATTTTACAAGGGTTACTATATCGGATCTGCCCTTATTAGTCAAACATGAAAAAGCCTTCTATGCAACTCTAAACTTCGGTATCTTATTTCAGTGGTGCATACACACAATTTGTCCAATAAAAAGGAAAATTTGAGATAGTACAGCAACCACATGAGTGCATATATGAATGCCACGAATGCTTTGCTATGTAATCAGAGTAATATACCTGACCTAGAATTTATGATCCTTCAGTCTTTGCAATGTAAACATTCTGCACAGGACAGCAGACATAGGGATGGCTCTTACATTACTTTAGTGATATTCTTGTTCCTGCAAAATAGCTCCCATGCTGCATCAATAACTTAGGTAATGCTGAAATTGTACAGAGCCTTGGGAGGAGTGGCATTGTTGTGGTGAGAAGTCGTCCCCTCCACCCCTCCCAATGATCTTATTATTACATGCATTATTGAAGCTGGGTGAAAATTCACTACATGAAAGTGGCAAACACTCCCCCAGGATGGCATAAGAACCAACTTTAAGTGTAAGCAGAGGAAGAAGTTAAAATTTGGACTACGAAATTGCCAAAATGTCTGCCGGTTATTTGCTGGCTAGGGTAACTGTTTCTATTGTTAAGGGTTTTCCAACTCAACAGCTAAAACACTGTCAACAATAGAAGTCAGATGCCACAATCCGATACCTTCTTATTTGTGAGTAAGTCCCATTTAACACAATGGGACTTATTAAGGAGGTAGGAATATTACTGCATTTTCAGTTACAGACATTATGTATATACAGTGGTACCTCGGTTGTTGAATGTTTCGGAAGTCAAACGGTCTTCTGGAATGGATTAAATTTGACAACCAAGATACCACTGTATACAGAAGGAACTACTCAGTTCCTTCTGTATATTCTCATATTTGTCTGGTATTCCACCTTTTTTGGTATTCCACCTTGCTGGCAACAATCCAACAGAGACTAGAAACCTGTGGCCAAGTAATTGGCTGGTCAGTTCAAGCCAATATCTGGAATAACAGACATATTCTTGACCTATTTTCCCCTTAGGGCTGCCATGCCACAATGGTACAGTAACAAATGACCGTTTCTTGGTCAGGATCTAGACCAATCTTGCCCAAGATAGTAGGCTAAACCATCTGGAGGGTACAGCTGCCATCATCACCAGGCGTTAGGGTCAATGTTCAGGGATGATGGGAACTGCAGTTCAGTAACTTCTGGGGGCCCCACAAGTTCCTTACCCTGTGTTAGGTGGTTGAAGCTTTCCATTGTAACAAAGTGGTATGTATGTGTTATACAGTCCTCAAAAGACGTAATTATTTTTAAAAGACATTAGGAATTTAACACGGTCCACATAGCTGCCTTAGAACATCCCTCTGGTACAGAAGTACACAATTCATATTACCTTCAGGGCAAAGTTAAAAGCATAGGCTATTATTCTAACGTGTATGCACAAACACACATATAGCTTCTTAAAGCTACCGTATTTTTTGCTCTATAAGACTCACTTTTTCCCTCCTAAAAAGTAAGGGGAAATGTGTGTGCGTCCTATGGAGTGAATGCAGGCTGCGCAGCTATCCCAGAAGCCAGAACAGCAAGCGGGATTGCTGCTTTCGCTGCACAGTGATCCCTCTTGCTGTTCTGGCTTCTGGGATTCAGAATATTCTTTTTCTTGTTTTCCTCCTCCAAAAACTAGGTGCGTCTTATGGTCTGGTGTGTCTTATAGAGCGAAAGATACGATATTTTCCCTTACACCCTAATTTTCTCTGTGTCTCACAGCCTGCTTTCTCCTTTCTTTACACAGCTGCACATCTCTCTGAAGAGCTAAGAACTCACCCTCCTTTCCATGCTCTCTCTCACCACCATTTCTGTGTCCCCACTCTCAGCAACCATTTTTTTTTTACTGCTGTCTACCTAGAGCAACCTTTCTCAACCTTGGGTCCCCAGATGTTTTGGGCCTACAACTTCCATCATTCCTAGCTAGCAGGGCCAATGGTCAGCGATGATGGGAGTTGTAGTTCAACAACATCTGGGGACCCACGGTTGAGAAAGGCTGACCTAGAGGGTTCCCTAAAGCCCCATTTCTCAGCAACCTACTCTTTTCCCATAGCAATCTTCCTGTATTACCCCAGGTACCTGTGCACCCTCATTTCTGTTGTCCCCATCCTCTGCTGGCTGCTGCATTTGCTGACGGACAAACCAAGCACATGCCAAGGGCCTCAAATGACTGAAAACAGTACTCCTTGTGCAGAATTCTGGCTGAGGCAATCCCTGAATAGAAAATGCTATTAATAATTGATTATTATTAATCATAAATATTATTAATGCAGTTCAGGAGGAGAAGCTCTTGTCAGTGGCTGGCTTTTTAACTGCTTCTGAAGAAAACTGCCCTGCCAAGAACCAAAATTTAAAAATTAATCTATGCATAGTTTTGGTCCATTACACGCCACACACCAGCATGTAAGGAGGACACACTAACGGGTATGTGTGTGTGTCTCAGTTTGTAAAGTAACACAAGCTATCACAAACCACAAGTCCAGGGCTTACTTAAAGATCTCTGCATACCCCCCATTTTTCTGGTGCCTCTGCATCCCCACTTCTCAAGCTAATATCTCCTTTTACCTCTGTATCCATTTCCCCATTCCATAGATTTATCTGAATTTACCAACTCTCACTTATTTCTCACTTCTTTCACCACCCTATAAGTCTATCAATATCCAATTTTATCCCCTTTCCCTCTCTGCACCAGTACATATTTTTCTGTACCCTTAGATGTTACTGGTTTCCTCCCATTTCTTTATCCTCTATTTTTGTTCCATTTCGGTCTCCCTCTGCCCCATCCATCCTTATTCCTCACCAAATTCAGTGGAAACAGCCCACTCCTTGGCTCTTAGCTCCCAGGAATGGAATGTGCATTATACTGTGGCTGCCTGCACCGGGCTAGAAACACTGGCATGAATCTATTCTGTGCCTCTGAAGCCAGAGAAATAATCCAGATCTTCTCCCATCCCCACTTCCACCTTTCATGGTTTTTGGGCAGGCCTTAGATGGTTCCACAAATATGCTGGAAAGGGCCATAAACATTTATTTATTACTAATAATTGTTTGAAGTTGTTAGCCACATCACAACTGTTCTTGGGAAGCTATTGCAACCTGTTGCCAAGTGTCCAAACTGGAGGTGTAGATCATATCCCTCAGAGTCTTGAAGGAACAGCCGTCACTGCATGTACCTCCAGAAAGGCCACTCTTGAGCAGCAAGTCTACAAATGTATTAAGTAGGGCAAATCTAGCTATTGACAAGATTTGCCTTATTTTTCCTGAGAGGCTGAAAATGAGGTCAAGATTCTGCAGAGATGGGTAAGAATCCCTATCCTTGCATTAGACCACCTAGTAAAAATGCATTGGGTCAACTTGTCTGCATATGAAAATGTACCCTTTTTTAAAAAAAAAAAAAATGGCACAGCGGTTATTTCAGTATATATAATCTTAAAAAATCAATACAGCAATCCCGCAATTTACAGGTAGGACTGCCAAAGTCTTTTTCCCCAGATGCCTGCCCCTTTCCAATATATATATATTTCTTGCCAAGTGCATAAAGCTGAATGCACACAGGTAAATGTGCATAAATCGCAGGCTTACTGCATTACAAATAATCCAGGTAGCACAGTTATCTTTTTAAAAGTTCTGTAATACTGGCAAGAGGTCAAACAAAAGAGAAGTGGGTCAAACAAAAGAGAATATTCTGTTTTGTCCTTTCCAGTCTCCTCACTCCCCCCCACCGCCTGCCCCTCCACGCCATGAACACTTTTGCCCTTTGATTCAATAGCTGGTTGCACTACACTCAGAATATGCGAACAAGGATATCCTGGCAGGACAAAAAACCTTAGTGATGGCTATTGGGTTTATTAAGCCTATAAGTATGAAGATCTATTATGATAATTAAGACATTTAAAATAAAGAGACTGGCTTCTCACACCACAGACTTCTACAACAATTCCCTCAGAATGTGTTTCACCTCTCAGTGCAGAAAATATCTTATTGGATTGCTCTTACAATATGAAATCACTTCATTCAATCATTCTTGAGGAGATGCTATACTTTATATGTCATGAGATCAGGAATTCACTTTATTATCTGAAACACAGTACCTAAACAAAAGAGAGAGATTGCCACTTAAAATGAAACACCCTGGTGAAATATCCTCTATAGCTGTGAAATAGGTTGGTGGCAAAAGGAGTAATATCTAGAAAAAGGTAAAGCTTGTAGTTGTGAGAAAACAGCTGGTGTCACCAAAGCACTGAGGTGGAAGGGGTGGGGGAAAGAATTTGAGGCTACTCTAGTGCCAAAATCAGACAGTGAGAATGGGTGGAGACATAGCGGGTTCTGATGATTCTAGGAATGGTTGCAGATGAGCAAGTTTGGGAGGGAGCTTGAAATTTGCTGGCTCTGAAACGGCTGAAGCACCAGAGAATGAGTAAAGGAAGTTCAGAGGAGCCAATATCATTTGGGAGTGAGTTAGGTATACGAATATAGGTATTTATCAAGCAGTTACAGTGCCTAAGTACTGTATACTGGTAATTACTGTTGCATAAGAAATCTTCAAAATGCATTTTATCCTATTTTAATATCACCCAGCTTCCTTTACTCAGAAAGGAAAACTGTGCTGTCTGATAAGTCATTTGGTTCACAATAATTCTATGTAACGATTACAAAACTCCATCCAAATATGGTAATTCAAGCAATCCTTCAGAAGCACAATGTCGATGCAAAACGTATAAAGCATTAGGTGCCTAGGATTCTCCCAAGAGCACTCCAGTTTTGACTGTACACATTGCTGTATTTAACAGTAGTGGGGACAGTGACAGTCAAGGATGCACAGGATACTGCTTACAATAAATACATTAGGGATGTGTGTGCGTGTTTTAAATTTCACTGAAACTCAAAAGTATGTTTTACAGTTAAAAAAAGCACACATCATCACTCATAAAATAGCATTCAGCATACAAGACGGCAGACGCCTTTGAATATAAAGCATTTCATCAGGGCAACAGCAATATCTGTTTTGAAGCAAGGTATATTACAGTTTTTAAAATGCTCTTGTGCAGGCACCTTTCAATTAAAAGTAATAGCCAAGCCACCATCTCTTATTTTGAATAACTGCCCCAAACATGTCAGAACAGCCAACTATGTGAAATGCTCTGGGACTTGCTTTGGCAGCTACCACTACAATTTCTTCTTAACCTAAGGTTGGTAATTATTTCCTTTCATCTGGCAGAGGGGAAAAAATGAAACAGAAAACAACTACTTTTAGATCGTGTTCAGACACGTACATTATTCCCTTTTACCTATGGCTGAACCATTGTGCCCCAAACTTTTCGACATGTTGTTTTGTCTCCCTTCCCCACCCCCACCCCACCCCAAGCCCCCTCCTCACAAATATCAAGTTAAACGGTTTTGGCAGCTTCAATAGATGAATAGACCTAATACATGGTACTACAAGACATAAATCTGGGGAAAGACATGCTGGCAATTGTTATGCCCTGCTGCCATTCTGTGTTGTTCCAAATGGTAATTGACACGCCCAGTAATTTAACAGTACCAGACAGTCCTCTCTGCCCCATCTCTAGTAAAACACTTGCCTCTCTGTTCTTTAATCTGATTGGCATTATAGGGGTGTACATGAAGCTCACTATTGATAAGAAACAGTTATCCCTCTAATGCTCCATATGAAAACATCTCTAGATTATAGTTTCATGCACTGAATATAATGGGGAGTGGGGGGTGGAATATGTTGTAAAACTCTTCCCATAATGCCACACAGCTTTAATACATTTTTTTTCTCTGGTCCTCAGCCGGTTTTCTGCAGGGCTTCCCTCAGTTTCCATAGCTCTGCTTTGAGTCATGTACCAAAATGCTACAGTACTGAACTGAATGACGTCTGAATCATAACTTGGCACAAAATACGTTTGAAAGAGAGGGGGTGAGGCAAGCCCTTGCCTTGCTCGACAGGGATAGGTCAAACCAACAGTCATTAGAAGGGCCATCAAAAGTAGCCTTCAAGGGGAGGAATCTGACTAGACTCTGATCCTGTGTAATGCCATGCTCAAAGCATGAAGCACGGCTACTGCTTCTTCTCTCTCTGCAGCAAGGCGGCAGGAACGGGCTTTTTCCCTTTTGCTGTTCAAGAGATGGTCCAGTGACCTTTGGCTGTTCAGAGAGCTGGGCAAGAAGCGATCTGTTGCAGCGGGCTTCCGAGGCATTCCATGCATTCCTGCACTATCTAAAAGCTCCAGGAACAAACAACGTGTCCCCCTCCCACACACAGGCACACACCTGCCTTCTCATTCGCCCAGAGCGCCAGCAGCTTCCGTCCACACACCACCACCACCGTCTGTCGCACTCCTCAAACATGCAGCCAAAACCAAGCAGTCACTGCCGCTGCTGCCCCCTCCTTCTCTCTCCCTACAGGGTGACTGCAGAGGGACAGTAGTTGGGGGTCCCCTACTGAGGAAACCCAGGGCAAAGAGAAAGAGAGAGAAAGAGAAAGCACGAGAGCCACAGACATTTTCTGGCTTCGCTACTCGAGCCTGGTTGCATGTGGCTCTAACAAGCAAATGGGAGAAAATACAAGATGGGGGCGAGGTCGAGTGAGGGGAGACTGCAGGTTAAGAGGGAAGGATTTAGAGGGCCAGGAAGAGAAAGGGGGGGGTTGGAAGCAGCTGGTTAACCAGGGAAACAAGAGGAGGGGGATAGGACGTTGTTGTCCCTCCCCGCTTTTAAAGACAAGAGGCTGAAGAAGCAGGAAGAAATTTATACCAAGAGAACATGGGGAATTCCAGCAAAGATGAGGGAATGGGCAGGGAATTGTAAGGGTTTAAAGGACATGCAAAAGGCAGGGGAGGATTGAAGGGGCTTATACTCAGGCAGACAAGGGCGTGGGGTTTTACTGGGGCTCAGTGAATGAAAAAGTACAGGGGAGGGGGGGAAATACTGAAAAGCAGTATTACTTGTAAAATAGAGTATAAAAAGCTTTATAGGAACCAGAGGACGTTCACTCTGAGAAGAGGCCAGAACTAAAAAGGGAAGCTAGTTAAGGAAATGATCGTCTATTAATGAGGGAAATGCAAAGGTTTAGAAAGCAAGAAATGAGGTTAAGAAAAGGGAATAAGAATGTATTGAGAGTGCTTTTAGGGGATATTTTGCGATACCGGAGGGGAAAAACATTCTCAGGGTAAAGGGGTAAAACTGAGATTAAGCAAAAGACACTTGATGGGGATAGGTATTTGAGGGGGCAGATATGAATGTGGAATCATACAGGAAGGTAGATTCATGGGAAGCCTAATTATGCAAGGAAGGGCAAAGGAGATCAGTAATAAAGAGGAAGGAATTTCCATAAGGGAAGTTGTTAACATGAGAAAGCAGGGTATTTAGGTGGAGTCGGTTGAGCAGGAAGGGAAACTGATGGGGAGAAAGAAAAGGACACTCTGGGGACAGGAGGAGGGAAGAGTAATCGAAAGACTCATGTTTTAGGATGGAACCACAAGCAGGGCAGAGGTGTTTAGAGGGAAAGGATGAGAACCAACGGGAAAGGTTACTTAGAGGGTAAATGAGTGGATCTTTGGAGGAGGCGATGAAGGAAAGGAGAAAAACTGAGCAGCAGCGATGTTTTTAAGGACATTAAAGGGGCTGAATAAGCAAGGAAGGGATAGGCAGTTTAAGCAGAGCCAAACAAAGCAGAGGAAACACATTTTTACCAAGGGAGGGACTAATTATGGAGCTTGGCAAATCTGGTGTGTGTGAGAGAGGGGGTGCTGGGGGGGGAATAAAAAACAAAAAGCAGATCTTCGTAAAGGGGACAGAGTAAGATGGGAAGGGAGAGGCGAACAGGAGGCAAAAAAAGAGCAGAGCAAAAACCATTTTCGAGCAGGAGATCTGAGCTCAGGCAGGCTGGAGAGGAAGCAGGTAAGGCAGTGAAGAGGCGAAGGAGGGAGAGTTTTGAAAGAAGCTTAAGAAGAACAAGGGGAAGGTGGCTGGGGGAAAGGTCCGGGGAGTGAAGATTTCCTTCCTCGCTCCCTTCATCCAACCCAGGAAGATTCCCCCCCCCAACACAGGTTGCTCCTTTCTGTGCCCCTCTTTTCCTGCACCCGCCGCAGCGCTGGGTGCTGAGCTGCCTTGCCTCCCTCCCTCCTTCCCTCGGAGACAGAGCGGCTGAGATACCTCCACTCACCACGTTCAGACGGAGCGGGCTGGGCTGGGAGGGGGGCGCCCCGCCGGCGCTGGGTCTCGGCTTGCGCGGAGGGGCCGCAGCCACCCCGCCGGGAAGGGCCCCTACCCCGGGGTGTCCATGATCGTGCTGCTAATGTGCCACCGCCGAGCAGCACAGAGGAGTCCTCCTCCTCCTCCTCCTCCTCCTCTTCCTCCTCCTCCTCCCTCCTCGCAGGCTCTCTGCTCCCGCTTCTTCCCGCCCCTTCGCTTCTCCTCCTCCCTTCTCGGAGCTAGACGTCAACAAGGCGCCCTGCCCTGCGCCTCGCCCCGATTGGAGCAGCGAGCCTCGGGAGGGGTCGCCATTGGCCGCCGGCTCGCGTCAAACCGGCCAATGGAGGGGAGGCCTGAGGTTGCTAAGGTTACTGATGCTGTGAGGAGACCCGGCGGAGTGGAAGAAGGGGAGGCTGCGGTTCCTTCAGGCCAGGCGGGCGTTTTGCAGGGGGGGCGGCCGTTGGGTGTGTATAACTGTTGGGACTTCCCGGGGTGGTGGTCGTGGAAGTGGAATTATTATGTGATACCAGGAAGGGAAAGATAGCCGTGATAAAAATAAAATAAAAACTGGATGAGGAAGGAGTAAACGCGCAGGCGTATCCTGTAGCCACTGGTGACTGTGGGGATCGCCCTCAAGACGCAGCGCATGATCATAGGATGGCAACCTTTGCGCTGTTCTTTCTGCGCGGGCGCGCAAGCACACGCACGTGTGGGCTCCTCATTTCCCGCCAGAAGAGGCTCCACCTTTTCAGTGTTTTGGTTTTTTTAAAAAAAGAACGATTGTTAGAACTGTAGGGACCCCAAGGGTCATCTAAGGCAACCCCTTGCAATGCATGCAGGATGAGTGGGGGGGAAGGGGATGGGGGACAAAGAAAGTGGTAATTAAAGTTCATTTTCTGGACTTTCCCCATAGCTGTCTGCGTGACCTTTGCATGGCTGCTTTTTAATCGGAATGGAGGGGGTGCTTGCTTCGGATACCGAACTTGTAATCAGGTGTCACATTGGGTACTCTTTTTCACTCTTGTGGTAAAATGGTGGATTTCCCATCCCAAACTCGGGCTTCTCCATTTATATTTCTGAGTGAAGCAGAGGTTCTTCTCTATGGCTATGGAAGCAAAGGGTGGGTAGCTATTCCAGAGGAGATAATACAAAGAATGTTTGTTATGTAGAATTCCCACATCATATTGTGCCTATTGCTTGAGACAGTTCCTATTGTGTTTCCTGTTCCTGATTAATTGCTGTCTTTATTTTATTTTTGGTGGGGTTGTGGTGGAGGGTTTGGGAATGCCATTAAATAATGTTAATGTTAATGCATTCATACAGTAGGGACGTGGGTGGCGCTGTGGGTTAAACCACAGAGCCTAGGACTTGCCAATCAGAAGGTTGGCGGTTCGAATCCCTGCGACGGGGTGAGCTCCCATTGCTCAGTCTCAGCACCTGCCAACCTAGCAGTTCGAAAGCACGTCAAAGTGCAAATAGATGAATAGGTACCGCTCCGGCGGGAAGGTAAATGGTGTTTCCGTGTGCTGCACTGGTTCGTCAGAAGCGGCTTAGTCATGCTGGCCACATGACCCGGAAGCGGTCTGTGGACAAATGCTGGCTCCCTCGGCCTATAGAGTGAGATGAGCGCGCAACCCCAGTGTTGGTCACGACTGGACCTAATGGTCAGGGGTCCCTTTACCTATTCATACAGTTGAGGATATGCTGTTTTTACAGTTACCGTCTTCTCCTCATTTCTAAAGCTAATAAGTGAGTAGGGTGTAGAACCAATATTGGTGGTGCAGAATATCCCATGGTGGAGAAACCACCGCCTTCATAGTTGTGGTGACAGTGGGGCAGGGTGGCAGGTTTTTTCATTTTCCTTCTCCTTGACTCCAGTGGGAGGGGAATTACAACACTCCACCACAACTGACATAGCTTCTGTTCCCTTTGAGGCCATGTTGACCAAACAGGGGAGCCTAGGATAACACTAGCAGCTTCATACCCAGTGTTTCTCGAGAATTCCAAGAAACCAAAAAATCAGTGCAGTTTTGAAAGCTTCAGTCTGCCATCTTGGTTCAAAATGACATCCATTTGTATAAAAACATAGACTAAAATCTGCTCCTTGAACTCAAGAACCATCGTGTAAAACTTAGTTATCTATCTTAAGAAATGTCTAAATGTATCGTGAACAAACAACTTCCCAAAATATTTAGTAGTTGTTATAGAGCAGTTATTATTCTCATATAACATCCTCTTTGTTTTTAAATCATATGATTGCCTCCAGACTGCAGCAATGCTGATTCTTTCTTGATTGTCTAAATACAAAATGCCAGTGTACTGCTTTCTTTCAATCCTCTTGATGATTTTCCCCTTCAATCCTATTGAGATGTTAGCTGTTGCTAGTTGTGATTGAGGTACAGCTATGCTATACTAAATAGAACCACATCCATTGTGAGATTAAACATTAAACATTCACAAGCTTTAAAAACGGAAATGCAGGAGACAAGAAAGAGCCTTCAGCAATGTGCAATAGGGAGGAGAGCTTGGGTCAGAATAGGGTGTGTTACAAGTATACAATAACGCCCCGCTTCTCATTTCTGGAATGTTGGAGGCTACGCTGTGTGTTTATGGCACAGGGTTTTAACTTGGCACTTATGTCTTTCTCCTGCAATGTAATGTAATTGTTATGCACTAACCACTCCAGGCTGGAAGAATCCCAGGCACCTGCTTGCCTAAATATTTGATAAAAGTGCCTTAAGAACTTCAGATTTGTGTTGCAGCTGTGATCAGCGCTGATACTGAAAAGTTGGAAGAGAGTAAGATGCTATTGTAAGAAACTGCCAGTGAGTAGGGTTGCCATATTTTGTGACACCTCAAAAGTTGTTGAGCTTTTTTTAGACAAACCCCAAAGTTGATGAACAATTTTTCGATCCAGAACAAACCGCTGCCCCCCCCCCCCGGACGTCACTTCTGCCTTTGAAATCCCATTCCAGGTGTATGGCAGCCCTAAATAATGGTGCAGTCCTGTACTTGAGATCTGGGGTTGTGTGATTTGGTGAAAGTCCTTCCACACTGGAGGATGACCAAACCACTGCTGCCATGATAGATCTGCTGACTGAATACCACAGAAACACTGGTTGAACATGCTGCTGGTGGAGCCAATCCACCATTGAAGACATCGGCAGAATGGCTGATCTGGAGTAGAGTCATGGGCAGAGGTTATGTGGCATAGGACAGGAGAATGCTTACGCCATATTCTATTATCCTTCAGTCCATGACCACACTCCTTTTGATGGTGCAAAAAAAATAAAAAAATCCCCATTGACTTCAGCATGTCCTGGCTCATCCTCTTATCTCGTTGGCAAAATATTTTTTTTCCCTTTCCTGGGTGGCCCTTGACCCTTTGTCCCAGGAGTGCTCTGTGTGCTTTCTGGAGGCATCCTATCCTGGGAGCTGTGTGGGTGCTGAATTGCAGGGTTTTTTCCCCTTCCCCTTTGCGTTTTGTACTCCAAAACAGTGGTTGTGAGTACTACAAGGGGATTCAAGCTGCAACCTAGAGGGATCCCTGGAGCCTAGCTTTGCCAATGTTGTTGCCCATGCTGATGGATTGGGTTTGCTTTGGTATTCTGTATGTTGTGGTGAGATGTTTGTGTGCTGGGAGCATGTCCCAGAGGTGAGTTCATTGCATCCCTCTGCATGTGGGCATGATTGTTAGACACTGGTGGTGTTTCCAGTGATGATGGATGCCTGCTGGTCTTCTTTAAAAAAACATTTTTGTATTTTATGTGTGTTCCTCTCTATGCCTGGGCTAATCATGTATAAGAATGTGGTCATCGTTTTGCAGGCGTAGAGGCATATATACCACCCCGGGCGTAATGGAAGTGTAGGACTGCTCTGTAATTTTCCTTAGGAGACATTCCAAATGGCTACTTTAACACTAAACACAGCTTGTGAAACTTTTCTCTCACAGTTTCTGAGGGCAAGAACAGAACAAAAAAAATCAGTTCCTGGATCACTGACAGTCTTCAAGATTACATACCACACGGCCATCTAGGAGCAAAATGGAATTTGATGACGTAGAAGCTCTGTGAAGCTTCACTTTCTGTGGCACATCCATTTCCAAGAGTTTCTGAAATATTGTGCTGTAGGTAATTAAGAAAAAAGAACTATAATTGGGGTTTGTTTAGAGATGCAATATACAAAAAGCATGGATTGGTTTCCTGCTCTCAGAATAAGGAGCTTGGCTTTATAGCTGATTAATGTTCTAGTATAAGTGTGATAACTTTAGAAAAGTTTCACATGGTTATCACTTTTTCCATTCATAACTATTGTAGGCGACTCAGACTTCTGCATTGAAATTTTTATAGTGGACTCTGCGTCTAATACCCAGCCCTAAACATATTATATGGAACTAAGTCCTATTGAAATAAATTGGGCTAGCTTGCAAGTAATGATTTTAGGATAAGAGTGTTAATGTGATAGGATTCCTCCCTTTCCGACTCCCCTGGGTCTCCATCCTCAACTTTGTTGGTTGGCTATAATTTCATTTAGTGCTGCTGATGTTACATCGTAAACTTCCAGCTAAAGACCTTCAGGCCTAATTACAGCTTTAATGTGTAACCACTTCTGGATTGAGTCCAATTTTTGTATAATACACTATTGTGCTCATGCCCTGGGCTGATGCTATTGCACACAAATAAAAGCTTGTTACATGATTAGAAACATCTTCTTTTGGGTGTGAAGCTAAGCTAACTTTTATGTAAAAGTATGAATATAATAACCAAGGCAGCATACAGTCACTTGTAAAGATCCTATGCCAATTTGCAGTGGGCAGTTATCTGTCAGCATATTGCACAATATTCCATAGTTGTTTCAACAAAGCTTATGGAAAGTTCAAAAATGTTTAAACTTCTAAATTAAATTGTAACAGATATTTCTTTTGAAGGCTCCTTGAATACTGTACGTGGAATGAACATACAGTATTTCCTCATGGAAGTAAGTTTGTTTTAAATCAGTGAAGATTCTGTTTAAATGTGTGTAAGTTGTTCATTATTTTGCAGTTTGATTTAAAAATAAGAACAGAATGGTTTTGGGTTGGTGGGTTGTGATAAAATGGCTGCTTCTTCACTGTATTTCTGAGCAAATAAAGAGTAAGATTTGGACTGTAATTTATATTTGATGCAACAGTTTCTTGCTCCAAATGTTCAGCATGTTCAACAGATGGACATTTCTCGAC